ATCATGATGGTGTGCCCCCTCTACCAAAAAATGTCATCAGAACAAGCACGCCACCCCTGAGCAATTCACAAAACAAAGTAAATGCTTCACGATTGATTCCAAAAAAAGTGGCTAGAAAACTTTTTTTATTCTATTACTAATGCTATGAACGATGAAGCAGAATTTAAAAAAACTGATGAAACAAAATTTATTTTTTAAAAAAATGCAGCATGTAGCTTACCATACAGAGATGACAAATATATAAAAATCTCAATTGTGAATTTTTTGGCACTTACGATGATTTTTCAATTTTTTTTTTTTTAACGGCAGGTACTGAACTTTTACGTCCATTGCCTAGGAATATGCCGGAAGTATTACTCATTTAACGTTACCCAGTGGACACCTGTGGACCTAAGTCACGGAGGCGAGCAACATTACCCACACCACACTGCCACAGATACCTGTTTATAGGGTGGACCGCATTCGCGCATCATACAATAAAGAACAACACAGAGGGAAACGTCCATGCCTTGAGCGGGATTCGAACCCACAGCCATTGGCTTCACAGTCAGGCACGCTAACCGCTCGACCGTCTGGCCGGTTGATTTTTCAATTGCACCGCAGTGTTATATATAACGTTTTTAAATTTGTACATTTCGACACAAAAATAGCCGAAAGACGTGATTTTAAAACTAATTTCAGATTTGAAATTGCCACTCCCCAATCAAGCAAAATCAAGNTTATGCAAAATTGATTCAACTGAAATTCTTATGAATGATTTTTATATTTTGTAACTCGAGCTCTGCAAGTATACTACTAAATAAAAGCTTTTTTTTATTAATTCTATGGTACCCAGATTACAAATCCTTCTTCATATAGATAGTTATTGATAATACGTGTAATAGATAGGGATACAACAAGCAATTGACAAACATTGATAAAACAAGATAATACAAATACAATATGTACGTATTGACAATTCATGTACAATGTAAAATATTCCAGATCAAACTACGATAACTCTAATTAAATTAATATTATCTTAAAAATATATAAATTATGGTATAATATTTTCAATAAAAATGAATTTTACAGATGATGCACCCTCAGGGCAAGTGCTTTATACAGAAATTCCTTAATTTTTGACGCTAATGAATATTTAATACTAATACAAGCTACAGACGCGTATTGATAATAAAGATAATGGATACATATTAAAAATTTAAATAATATGCTTATTGATAATAAAAGATAAATAACAATAGTATAAGCAATTGATAAATATTGGTAGTATATAAATCTATTATATAATTGAGAATACTGGCAATAGAAATATATATGGATAATCGAAGTAACGGATCGGCAACTTGGCTTAGAAATAAAAAAAATAAAAACATTTTTTTGGATCTGCAAGAAAAATTAAGAAAAAAAACTTGCGTGTAACTTCTAATCAACTCGGTTAATTGTCCAGGTATTATGTTAATTTTGTTGCCTTAAAATGTGTTGCAAGAATTTTTTATACAATTTTTAAAGCAAGCTTATGAAAAGTCGTCTGCTCATTAGATGTTACTACTGTTAATTATAAAACGTCGACTTATCAACTGCTTAATTTAAGCATTTTAAAAGAAATTCTTGCAACGTATTTTAAGACAAACTTTACGTAAAATGAATATAATACCTGGAAAATTATCTGAAATTTAAAGAGTTTGATCTGACTTGAACAACGTCACCAGAAAAATAAGATAATCGAAAGTTTCCTTTAAGCTATTAGTTAAATTCTTTAAAATAATTTTTACCCCATAAACGCATTCATATTCAAAGTAAAAATATTTATGGTTACAATAATTGTACTTACTAATATTTAAAAACCTACTTTACCCATGCCCGGATTTTATTGACAATACAAATTATGGTTGAGGTGTTTTTGAGGAAAATTTGAGACTGTTTTTAAGTGTAGAGGTTGATTTGAGGTTTATCTGAAGTTGACTTCAAAAACAACTTTAAAAAATTAACCCCCTCAAGGTTCTTGATCAAGGTGTTCACGCTTAAGGTTATTTTGAGATTGATAGAAATCTCCCTTAGAGCAAGCAGGTTAGAGGTGTTGTTTCAGAGGTGCACGGGTTATTTTTTCTACATTTCAAGCAATTCTAATATTTGTGAGAAGTATAATTTAACTCTATTTCAACTAAATTTATTTCTGACCTATATATATGAGACTAATTTGAGGTATAAGTGAGATTGATTTAGGAGGTTATTTTTGGGGCATAACTTAACCTCATTTCACACCTCTGTTGTATATTTTTAAACCTGTCAACCTCAAAACAACCTCAAAAACACCTTATTTTTTTGTAAGGAACGCTTTTTGAACACATCTCGTATTAACAAAATGGTGTAGTTCTCCAAATACAGTTAGCATGGCTTTATATTTATAGAGCAATAAAATTTGTAGAAATTTTATAAAACACTACGTGTATCATAAAATAAAATCTAATATCAATAAAAATTCACTTCACTCATTGTGAAGTAAGTGTTCTTAATATTTCATGCATAAGAAGTTAAGATTTAATCCTGAAAGGACAAATCAATCTGATTTGCCCCTCTTGGCCACTGTGGGTTTTTTTTCTTGATCTCTTTTTTATGTTTTCTCTCTCAACTACTTCAGTTTTTCTAGTTTTATTTCTCATCTTTATTTTTCTATTTTTGTTAGCAACTTTACATTTTATATTTCAAATCACTTTTGTTTTTTCTGATTCACGTCTGGCAAGTCTTGAAAATGAGAGCCTGTTTTTGAGCGCTTGAAACATGTCGACTGCTATTTTCAATTTGTATCATTTTCAAGCGATTAATCTATTAAGTACAACAAGTGCTTGTCTTTTCAATGTATTTTAATAAATATTTTCTTTATTGTCCGATCGAAAGGGTTTCGTTGCAAAAAATTGGATCAGATAAAAATTATGGAAAAAATAATGAGATTTAACTAAACATTCAAAATTCTTATTTTAAATGAAAATATAAAAACATACATATAGATAAACACAAGCATTTATATGAATAGTATTTATACCTAAAACGTAAATTTGAGCTGCAGAACTAGTAAGTCTATTGATGTAAACAAACAACTACTTAAAACGTTAAAGAGAAATACTAGCTTGAGCTTAAAAAACTTTCATCTTTTGTTAGTTTTTAAACTTACGCTAAATTGGAAAAAGGATTAAGACTACCAATGGGAAAATGTTTTAGTTGTTGTGAGGACAATGCCTTTGTGATTGTCCTTTACATGAAAGTATATTTTAGTTTCTTGTTTATTTCGTTTATTTATTTTTGCTGTTTTCACGAGTGTCTCCTCATTTTATTTATTTATTTTTCTATTTATTTTTTTGTAAATTTTTTTAAAAAGATGTTTTTATTATTTGTTCCGAATATATTTGAGCAGATATTTGAATAAATTGAATTTAACTTAACAACTGTCTAATTCTTCGCGAAATTACCTATTCTGAAACGGCCATTCTTAATAAACTAAAGCGAAAAACAACATGAGTAAGGTACAAATATTTGTTTGTTTGTTTGTTTAAGCATTAGTCTACAAAGCACATAAAGCTTTCCTCTGTTTTAGACATTCTTAATCAATATGTTTTTAAAAGTTCTAACTTAATATTTAAGCGACAAAAGAAAAAGAATCTTTCGAAATTGAACATGCTTTTTTTACTCTTTTTGCGCATATTTTGACAAAGATTGTTTTTAAAAAATGTTATGGGTTTTACACCTAAGTGGTGAGCCGAGGAGAGTTCCTGGGATAGTGAAACACTAAGAACTTTTCTTACACTACTAGGTGTAAAGTAGCTGCCACCATTTTTGGGTATTTAGTAAAAATAATATTTAAAATTGCAGCAATATAAGATGCATATAATAGTTAGTAAAGTTATTTTTATCAGACAATATAAAGTAGTAATTGTTGATTTAAGATGTATATATATACACTAGTTCTTAAAATAAAATTTGTTTGTAAATCAAGCATATGCGTAGCACAAGGAGAATAGTAAGACTTATTTAGACTAGGCCTAACAGAGAAACAGATGGAAATTATACTTTCTAAAATTTAATACAGCTTACAGAGACAAATATCTTTATTATATAAGACACAAATATCCTTATTATTTAACTAAAAACATACTTACAAATTAAAACACTGAACTTTTGATTCTGTTGACGCAGTGGTCAAAAAAACTACATTATTTTTGTAGTTTACTACAACTACAACTACTATGTTACAAATATAGTTACCTACAACTACTTTTTTTAAACGGTAGTGACTACGAACTACTTTGGTAGTAACTACTTCACTACATTAAGGCGCGAAATTTGCTGGAAAACTTAATTTACCCCTATGTTCTAAATGATTTTGAATACGAATTGGCGTACATTAAGTATAAGAGAATAGTTAAGAAATATTTATTCATGTTTACATGAGCCAGTTTGTTATTCCAAAATATTTTCTTCGAATTTGTCCATTTAATCTTCAACTTTTTATGCCTTTCCGAACTGCGAATATTTAATATATGAATTTCAAAATTATCAAATACTTGCAATTTAATTATTTAATGTTCTTTTATTTCTTGTAAGAAATTAAGTACAACGAAAATACGTTCCTATACGTACGGCTATTCAAAGACGGTTATAGAATAAAATAAAATTGCATAAAAAAAAAACAACAAATCCTTACTTCGGAGATATTGAAAACTTAAAAAAAAACATCAATTGAAGTAGTGATTGATAAGAATACTCAATTACATAGAAGTTATTCAGATTTTATCTTATATTTACAATTATTAAATTCATATCGTTAAAATTAGACACTAAATATGCCAAATAACATTTATCTCCTTGATAAATATGGATATTAAATACTTAAATCATGGATCTCTTGAAGTATCGAATGTTATAAGTGGATCATTATTTTTCTCTTATCTAATAAAATCAGTTTATTTCTAATACTTGAAATATAATTCACACTCAATTTGGAAGAAACTGATAGATACAATGGAAGATACAATGTCTTCAAACTATGTATAAAAGGAGTGATTTTTGTTAGCAATTTACTTTCCATTTTCAATTATTATAAGTACACAGTTGAAAATGTAAGTAGTTTCGTTTTTAATCTCTTGCAAATTGCATACTCTTTTCTTTTCAAATTATAACTTCTGTACTTATAAATTTCAAATTAATTGTATTCTAATGCGTCTATATTTCGATACAATCATTCATCATTGAAGATAATTTTCTTCTAATATTATTCTATGAAACTCTTTTTCTATTTTCTTTTCTTCAGAAACAAAAGTCAAAATTATTATTTTATATAACCACTTTAGTATAGCTGTTAAAAAAAATTGTAATTAGTTAAATAATAAATTTTGAAACGAGTTTATTTCCCCCAAAGTTTACTGAAATTATTTTCATTCTTTTAAGCAAGCTACAATTAAAGAAATCCATTATCGGGGATCCACAGAGCGCAGAAAAATAAATTGACTACACTCAATAACTTTTGATCCATTGATCGATCCTCACGTTCTAAGACTCATTCTTAATGGTTCAAGGAGATGACCATAAACATGCTAATTGATAAGTGCAGACGATAATTTAAGTTACATAAGCAGATACAAAAACATATTTCAGCAGGTTAAACACCTTGTTCTCCGACGGATTCGGGTTTCTGACACGCAAAATATAAGGGGTTGCCGGGGAAATATAGCCCCAGTAGTTTGGTAAGAAGAGCGATCCAAAGTTTGGTTTCCTTAATGTCTTAATATCAACTTTTTTTTTCCTTTTTAGTATTTCGCCCCATCTGGAGAACTTTTTAAACGAATACGACTTTTCTAAAATTGAATTCTCCGATTTGAATGATTTCATGAAAATACAATACGTAAAAAATACATTACGTAAAAATTGTATACATTACGTAAAAAATTATATACATTACGTAAAAAAATTTATGTCTTACAAATCAAAATTTTTCCGACTAACTTTTAATGAATTAATAAAAATTATAATATTTATTTAAAGTTATTTTTTCAAAAAATTGTTTTCGGATATATGAACTTTATAATTGTGTGCAAAAAATTTTCAATTCGCTTTAAGAAATATGCAGAAAATAAAATTAACATTAAGGGATCCAAACTTTCACCACTCTCCTAGCCTAACTATTGTGGTGATATTTATCCAATTATGGCTAACCCCTATATTTTGAGAGTCAGAAATTCGAATCCATCGAAAAAAGGTATGATNCGATCCAAAGTTTGGTTTCCTTAATGTCTTAATATCAACTTTTTTTTTCCTTTTTAGTATTTCGCCCCATCTGGAGAACTTTTTAAACGAATACGACTTTTCTAAAATTGAATTCTCCGATTCGAATGATTTCATGAAAATACAATCCGTAAAAAATATACTAATTAAAAAATTGTATACATTACGTAAAAAATTTTATACATTACGTTATGTAGTACATTACGTAAAAAATTTTATGTCTTACAAATCAAAATTTTTCCGACTAACTTTTAATGAATTAATAAAAATGATAATATTTATTTAAAGTTATTTTTTCAAAAAATTGTTTTCGGATTTATGAACTTTATAATTGTGTGCAAAAAATTTTCAATTTGCTTTAAGAAATATGCAGAAAATAAAATTAACATTAAGGGATTGAAACTTTCAACACTCTCCTAGCCGAGCTATTGTGGTGATATTTATCCAATTATGGCTAACCCCTATATTTTGAGAGTCAGAAATTCGAATCCATCGAAAAAAGGTATGATTATTCAGAGAAAGTATGTTTTGTGTCTGAAAATATCGATAACTGAAGATATCGGCTGCACTAACTAATTAGCATATTTACAACCCCCCCCCTCAAACTATTAAGACTAAGTCCAAGAACGTAAACTTCTGACCCATAGATCAAAGGTTATTTAGGTGGTTCATTTTTTTTCTTTGAGAAGTGTGCAATAATAAATAAAAAAGCTGTTTCAACAATGAAACCTTTCGGCAAAAATTTAGAGACAATGTCAAAAAAAAGCATGGTCAAAATTACCACGATATGGTAAAATTTACCGTATTTCTGGATCTAATGAACATTCTGTAAATTTTTACAGAAGAGCTATGGTATTGACTTTGGTAAAATTAACAATGACATGTGGTTTTATAGTATCTAATATGTGAAAATTTGGTAAATGTGAACATGGCATAAAAAACATTTGTTTTCATAAGTTTACTTTTCTGTTTAGTATCTTTAATTAAAAGTGCGGTAATAAACTATAGTTTGGAAAAATAGAATTTCTAAGCCATTACCAAATGAATTACGAACATTTACCAATTTTATTTGGTAATTTACCAAAATGCATAATCTGCGTATCATAATTCTGCATAATCTGAGCGCCTATCATAATTAACCGCAGATTATAATCTGCGTTAAAATTTGACAAATGTGGTAAAATTTTTATTATTTTTATCATGATACTTTTTAGAACATGGAATAAATACCATTTATTCGATTAAATTTAATTTCCCCTTTTGTATTTTTTACTGAGTGTGCGGTAATAAAAGTTATAATTTTAATAACTTGAATTTCTTGTAAACCGTATTTATATAAGCGGAGAAAATTATCAAATGAATAGCTTAAATACTGTATATTTTGGTTTTATCGGCCAGAATTATGAGTTTTTTTTAACCAGAAATGTCAATACCATAGAGTATACCAGGCTTTTTATTACCGTGATAAAATTCTGTAATTAAATAACAGAAAAAATTTCTCTACTTTTTGTTCAACGTTTCATTAAATTAATTTTAATTCGGAATAAGTATAAAGATGTTTGAAAAGATGTCTCAGCAACTTTCTCCGTAAAATCTTTCAATCCAAGATATTAAAAATAAAAAAGTATATAGTCTCCAGATGCAGATGTTGTGATCTACTACAACATTATAAAAAATAAAAGAAATAAAAATTGCGGTGAAAAGTAGTGGCATTCAGGATGCCGGTACTTTTACCGTAAAATCTATTTTTTCCAGAACATGTAACGAAACAAAAAAAATCTGATGAACGGCAATTCTTACAGTAATAATTAACGTTAAACCACTGAATCAATCTCCTTAAATAAATGTTACTGTATGAAATACCGCATACCGTATTTGGATCCGAAATTTGATCCGGAATTTTTTATTGTAAAAAATACCGCACTGTACTGTATGGCTATTGCAAAAAATACCGCATACCGTAATTCGATCCGTAATTTGATCCGGAATTTTTACAGTGTGCACCCGGTACCATGTTAGTGGGCTTCTACAACCAGGATCATTATTAAATCTAATCTATTTTTCTTAAGAATTAGTTAGTAATAAAATTTTTCTTTAAATTAGTAGAAAGATGCACTAAAATCATTCATCTGTATTTAAGAGAAAAAATAACACTTAAAACCTTTACAATTATTAATAAAATATAGTCTCCATTTAAAGCATACAATTTCCCTTAGTACAATATACCTACTTTAGTTACTAAAGCAAATACGTAAACAACACGGCTCTTGCTTTACCACTTTTCTTACAATATTGAAGGCAATCCCCTCTGTTGCTTATAGCAGCGGTTCTTAACCTATGGGTCGCGACCCAAAATTGGGTCGTGAAGCATATCTCTTGGGTCGCGCTGAGTCGAACCAAAAAAGTTAGTAATGCACCAAATAATAAGTAATACCAACACCTCCTAGAAGAAGTCATTGTGGCTTACTCAGCCTAGGCTTAATGAGGTACCTGGGTAACTCTATACCCTTAATCCTCGTTCATAATAATTAAAAAAGGCACATGACTCAAAATTAGTTTAGCATATCAAGGTGCAAAATTAATATAAGAATAAAAGATACTTAGTAGTTAATGTTTAAAATAAAAAAGAAAATAAAAAAGTAAAAAAGAATTAACATAAGGGCCCTCTCTAAGAGGTAGAAAAATAGTTCCACAGAAGTGGCGCTGTTTAAGTCAAGGAATAAGTTAAAATGTCAATTATTTTCAAAAAGTTATAAATATATTTTAATTTGGTCAATAAAAATTATTAAAAACACTTGATTATTAATTAAATTTTCCTTGGATCGAAAAGTACTTTTGTTTATCTTTATTATTAAAAAAATTAAGAAAAAATTTGTAAGTTAAAAAAAATCCTCATCGTAGGATTGAAGATTTTTTAAAAATACGACCTAAAATAAAGCAATGAAAAAATTGTGACTTTTTTTTGGGTCGCGACATGAACATATTTCTCAAATTTGGGTCGCGGCTTAAAAAGGTTAAAAACCACTGGCTTATAGCACAACACAAGAATTTCTATCTTTTATTTATAATATAGCGTGAATTTATATAAATTAATTGGATAGCAGGATTTTTTTTAAAGTAGATCAAAAATTTGTTTCTGACTTTATATGTATACCAGAAACAAAGTTATATTTTAAACTTAATAAGGGAAAAAAAATTTCTTATAAATTTTCTTTCATGTTTTAAGTTTTTAAAGAAACAGAGAAAACCTTGGCAAAAATGCGTTTATTTTGTTTGGAAATATTGGGAATTATTTATAAATGTAAGTAACAAATATATGCTACTCGATAATTTTTACGTTTACAATCAATTTATAAGATCAGAACGGGCTGTTAAAGACGCCTTTCAAGCCCTAGAGGCCTCTGCTATAAATATGGGCCTTTCCATTAACGAAGACAAGACCAAATTCATGGAGTTTTCAAGCTCAACTGTAAACTATAGTGAACCTTTGCAGATAAACGGACATTCCTTTGAAAAGGTTAAAGAATTTAAGTATTTTGGTACAATTATCAATGACCAAAACAAACTGAAATCTGAAATTGACAATAGAATCAATATGGCCAACAAATGTTTTTTTGGACTAAAAAGTCAACTAAGATCGAATTTTATTAGCCGAAAAACGAAACTAAAGTTATATAAGACACTCATTCTGCCTGTCTTGCTATACGGAAACAAAACCTGGACTTTAAACCTTGACGTCCAACGCCTGATAGAAACGTTTGAAAGAACGATACTTAGAACTATCTTCGGTGCCATACCAGAGAGGGGATGTTGGCGAACACGGTACAACTTTGAACTTTATGGGCTCTATAAACATCCTCAAATTATGCAGATAATCCGAAGCAACCGACTAAGATGGCTCGTCCATATCTGGAGAGGCTCTGAAGATAACCCTGTAAAAATTGCCACCGTCAAGAACCCTCAGGGGTCCCGCTCTAGAGGTAGATCATCCACTCGATGGCTCAACGACACAGAAAACGACCTCAAAGTCCTAAAACTTAAGAACTAGAGGGGAATTGCCATGGACAGAGGGAGCTGGAGAAGGCGTGCTGTTGAGGCAGCCAAGGCCTGCAAAGGGCTGTTGCGCTCCTGAAGAAGAAGAAGAAGAATCAATTTATAGCTGAAGGAAAAAATAATGATGAGCTCCATTCTTTAAGACTGTTAAAGAAATTTTTGTTTTGTTTACTTTAAAAAAAAGGGGGGGGAAATATTATTGTCATATTGTCAAAAAAGGGAAAAAAATATTGAGAAACCTTATTGTCATGTCGACAATAAGGTTTCTCAGTATATTTACCAGCCATCTGAAGGGAATTCCGAAAATATATTAAACTCCTTCCTGGAAACGATTCTAAGGAACAATTTATTGTTAAAATGACTAATAACTATTGTACTACAAGCTTGCATCTTAACTATAAAAGATTACTTTCATCATGTAGGGGAGTGATGTTTAGAATTCACCTCATAACATCAGTGGTTCTTGCCTTGAGCTATGGCGTAACAATTAACCAGTATGATTTAAATGCTAGTGAACCTGACTCCTTCACCAAATTGGAGCATAATGAAATATTACCTTTGAAATATCAAGATATTAGTAAAGAATTCACTCAGAATAGTTACTGTAAGTATAAATGTAAATAATCACTTGGAAATTTGAAGAATTAACTTTGACTATTAGACAGTTCATTTAACAATGTGTGTTCTCCTCACGCTTCTTTGAGTTTTTATAAAGCAATACTATGACAATCTCAAAAAATAAATTTTTCATTTTATTATTTTTATTACTTTATTATTATTAAGTATGTTTGCATCCATTGAATTTTTTTTAGTGGTGAAAAAATACTTTTAAATTTAAAAAAATAGTTTTATTATATTTAAATAATCTGATGTTGTTGTTGCTGTTATTGTCGTAGGTCATTAAGACCAGGGGTTCGATTGTTCTCTCTATGGCCAAGAATTCGACTTCTGCCACACCCATTCGTCACACATAAGGTGGACCCATTCATACATCCATTCATCCACAGATCATAATTTTGACCTGAACCAGAGAACTATCAAAATTACGATTACTTATACCCAGAAGTATAATTTGTTACGAAAACATGGAGGACTTTGAGACCCGACAGAATTAACGTGCACCATTTACAACACCTTAGTCTTTGGTCGGCTGGATTCGAACTCCTGTTCCCAGCACCCTACCAACTGGGTTATCCCGGTCTAAATAATCTGATAAATAGCAATTTTGAAAATAATTCCCTAAAACGGAAGTTATAACTAACTGAAGAAAAATCTAGATCAATTTATGTTAAAAATTATCGGCACTTAAGGTGCTGGTTCTTTTTACCGTGAAATTCATTTTTACCAGAACATGTTTCGGAACAAAAAAACTAATATTCCGTAATTATTACAGAAATAATTACAAATCACTGAATCACTCTAATTAAATAAATATTAGTGTAAAAATAACGGTATAATGTTTTATGGTAAAAATGGATATTGCGGCAAAATGGATTTTAACGGAGGATGTATCCAAAGTATAATCCACTTTATAACTTAATTTGATCTGAAATATTTTACAGTGTAATTAATAAAGCATATAATATGCATTTTAAACCCATGCCTACCTACCTATCTTCTTCGCGCCATCTGGCACATAGGGCCTCTAGTCTCTTTTTCTAGGCCTCACTGTCCTGAGCCAAGTCTAATAAAAATACTGGAGAATAATAAGATAAAACATATGAGGCTCAAATCAAGCAATAAATAGAAACAGACAATCGTTTAGCACTGTGAACACTGATGTTGTACTTTCTATTATCAACAACAGTACACAACTATTGCCAGTCTGCCTCACAAAAGAGACAGAATGCCGTTTTGCTATTATAAATAATGATGTTATACTATTCAAACAGATGCCAATCTATTTTAATTGTGCTTTGTAACCCCCTGTTTCCTATTTTATTATTCAAAATAATAAATATGGATGCTTTATTTTATATATTAAGCATTCATTTAGGTAAACAGAACTTTTTTAAGAAACCCACAATAGAGTTCCTCTTTATTATTTTATACAGCAAAGATTTTTGTGGCCTTTCAAAAGTTCTATATCAAGAAATTTATTGCATATGCAACATCTTAATTAACATACATAACATTTTAAGTATGCTGTATATATTATGAAGTTTCTATTATTGAATTTTACGTCATTTATAGGTCCTAAACATTCAAAACCTGCTGACTGTGCAGAAATTTTTCAAAACGGTTACGAAACCAGTGGAGTGTACAAAATTTATCCCCAAAACAAAGTCGTATCATGTGAAACTATTAGAGTGTATTGCGATATGAAAACAGATGGTGGAGGCTGGACAGTAAGACATTTTTCTCTTAAACTGCCAATATTAAACTTAATATACAAGAGTAGCTCGAATCAAAAGTAGACACGCGTGATAGCGTCACAAATACACTAGCGACAGCGCAGTCATTATTTATGATGATCAAGAGAACTAAAAGTGCATCGCAGATAGCATGCAACATAATTATCAAATTCACCTGAGGGAATTTAAAGTAAATGCTAAATCGTACTAAAGATGAATGCCACCAGAATAAAACAATGTGCAGAGGAACGGTTTTTAGTTTTAGAAGATAAACATAGTGCCTAATATGGATATTTATAAACATTATAGATAAACTAGGAAATAACGTAAGTGATAAATGGCGTGAGTTTCTCTTGAAAGGCGTACAGGGGTGTCAAACTCAAAAGCTAACTTGGGCCAAATAAACGATGCTTAACTTTAGGTGGGCCGCAAAAAAAGAAAAAAAATCAATGTTCATAGAAACAAATATTTTTATTTAGAATAGTACATTGTAATAAGCATGTATGAAGTAAAATTATTGTTTGATATTTGACATCTCTTCTCTGCTACTATCTTTCCTATTTCGAGAGAAATTTTATTGGCCGAGACTACTTTCAAAATTAATACCACTTCGGACAGAAGATTTATTTCCATTCATAACAGAAAATAATTGCTCGCACTGATAAGTACTTCCAAACATGGAAATAATTTCATATGCCAATTTTCGAGTATTTTCAAACCTTGCCGGTAAATATTTGTAAATTTCAGGCACACCCACTTCAATGACTTTTGCCTTCAAATTTCAATCGCACTGAATTTCAATCACTTCCATTTGCATGTAACTGGGTACTGAGTCTATATTTATTGAGAAAATCGAAGAAAACAAACAAAATTTTTCTTCCAAAGAATTAAAATCTTTAAACCTGGTTTCAAATTCCGTTTCAAGATTTGAAATTTTTTTTTCCGTATTTTTGATACGATGCAGTATCCCTGGAATGGCAGGTACCGCAAGCCAATTAAAATTTTACATTTTAACGCGTACAATTTAAAATGATACTTATAGTTTATAAATAAAGTATATTATAATTTTATATGCTGGTTTCCTTCCTAATTCGCATTTTTATTTTATTTTCACTTTGCGTCGGATATATTGACTGGGCTGCAAAAATGTTCATCTCGGGCCGCGAGTTTGACACCCCTGGCGTACATCAATATCGGATCTCACAAAACCAGATCACGCAGACGCCATGAACTCCAATGAACCAATTGATTGATGAAATGATTCACACAGTTCGTGAAATGTGTCAGAGAAAAGAATTTATCATACATCGTCTGTCACTAAAATTTGTATTACTGCACATTGTTCTATTCTGGGAGCATCCTTTAATTGACTTTACATTCACTTCACATGCTCTACTGTGATTCACATGCTTTTATCAGTTAATCAGTTATACACAGTTTGCAGTTCATAATAAATAACTTCTTCTATGACCTAAATGGTGGCGCAGCTATCATTGCTGTATTTCTGACACTTTCACAAATGATAATTTTTCTGGTCATCCATTTTATTAGATGTTTTTAAAACACAGTCCTAAATTCATATTTTATTCATATTTTCAAAATTAATTTGAGGTAGATTCCTTAGGATATCCTTAATGTGGTTCAAAAGTAGTTGCTTATGTAAGAAAGGAAAGTTGTCACTATTTGACGAATCGTTAATTCGGTTAAATTCAGTATGTTAAATTATTAATGTCAATAGATTTCTCGGATAAAATTGAATAAGAAAATTTAGAATATTTTATGCAGTTATGTCATTGTATCTTTTATCTAGATTTTATCCAATTGAATAAATATTTAATTGAATTAAAATCCCTGCTTTAATTTACTGAAATTGAACATCAAAAATATCGGAATTTAACCAAGAAATTTGGATTACTATAATCGTCTATATCATTTATTATAAAAATAATTTAACACTATAATTCCTAATGAAATTATTTTTTGAAAATATTTTAAATGCGAATAAAAGTATGGAACTAAGCAACTATTTTAGTTTATTTAAAAAATGCATATTTTAATGTGTAGGGTTTATAATAAAAAATAGTCCGTTTTCACACGTTTAAGTAATTTCCAAAATTTAATAACTTGATTTTTATACATTAATTGATGCATTGTTTTGATATATTGTTTTGATACATTGACTGATATACCAAAATTTAATAACTTGATTTTTATGCATACAAAATTTAATACATTGATTTTTCGGAAAGTGTTACTCTTAAAAAAACTGTTTAGTTCATGTAATTTAAACACTCTTATTAATTTCAGTTTCATGACATTTTTTTTTATATTTCTATATCAAATTCATTTAAATGTATATTTTTCTTTACTAGATATGTACAAAAGACTTTAAACCATGATTTGCATGTTAGTAAGCATAGTAAACATAGATTTTTCTCAGTTTTTTAATGCTAATTTATAACTCCTAATACAATTTTGATTAAGATTTAGAAAAAGAAAAAAAACTATTCAATCCACTTAAATCAATTCATATAGCTAATAAATATAACTACTCTATTACTTACTGTTCGACTCTGTTAACACATTACCATTTATTTTGCTAAAATATTTACCATTAAGATCTGTATCTTTGTAATAATGACGAAAATATATAAAGTAATGATTAACTGAATTACAAACTAAATAAAATATAGTATTCACATTTATAACATTTTATAACATTTGGTTATGTTCACACGTTTTTTAATGTGTTTTAAATCAATACAATTTATTAAATATTTCAGGTCATTCAACGAAGAGGAAATTTTAACAGACCAGCTGATTATTTTCATAAAGATTGGGCTGAATACAAGAATGGATTTGGACATTTGGAAAAGGAATTTTGGCTAGGTAAATTTATTGACTTCTTTTTTTATGCAAATAATATAAGTTTCAGAAAAGTTTTTGTAAACTGTAAAAAATATCTTGTATGATTTCAGTATAATATACATAAATACACTGCCAATAATTGCTAAAAATAACATGGTGATCTTATAATTTTATGCATTTCTATCTCGTGTATTTTTATTTTGCTCCTATCTGATCAGAAGTAATTTTTTTCTGCATTTTAAATATTATATTAAATACACGTGATCAAATATTTTTGAATAAGTGAAACAGAAATATTTTACTCGGAGCCTATATTTTAAATATTATATTTAAAAGCAGCCATAGATGCCACTTGCTGAATGAACAAAACATGACAAATTTTTAAAAAAAATTGATAACAAAACGAATGATTTCGATGTTTTTAGTACTGACTTCCTCGTTAATATTTCATCAAAATTTCGGTAAAAATTTCCTTTTCTTACCTTTCCTCAAATATAATTCTTAACACCCTACTATATGTATTTTCCTTTCATCATTTTCAGTAAGGATTCTCTCCATAAATTAAGGCTGGTAATTACGCTGGTATTTCAAAGCATTTTTCCTTAAAGTGCAACATTTTTTTTTAATTTAAATGAATCATTTAATTTCATAATTAATTAAAATGTGTTTCAGGAAACGACTATATCTATGCTTTGACTAACCAGAAAAGAAACTCTGTACGTTTCGATCTTGGAACTGAAACTGAAACGGCTTACGCAACTTACGAAAATTTTTCGATCGAAAATGAAGAACTCAAATATAGATTATCTATATCGGAGTACAGTGGAACTGCAGGTTTGTTTTTTATTAAATAATTATAACTTTCCTTTAAATATTTTCTAGTGATAATCTCACTAATATGATAACCTTCGCACGAAACAGTGCCAAGTCAACATATGCAATTCAAATAATGAATTCAAAAATGCAAAGCATTGTTGGAAATTAACTCTTCGCACTATTACTAAATAATCTCTTTGGCGAAATTTTTAATTAATTTTTATGGTTAATTAGAAAATATTTCGAATTTAAAAAACAAAGTTATAGATGAAGCTGCTATAGTTACCGATCAAAATGCTAATCAAAAAAGATACTCTGTTCGTTTCAATATCGAAACTGACATTGAAACAGTTTACGACAACTTTTCGATTGGAAATGAAGAACTCAAATACAGATTATTTATATCGGAATACGGTGGAACTGTAGGCTTGCTTTTTTATGAAATATTTATAATTTTTCTTTAAAGATTTTCTAATGATAAACTTACTTTTATAATAAACTTAGCTCGAAACAGTGCCAAGTCAACATATGCAAGGAAAATAATCTCTCTATTCTAAAAAAAAGTTTTTGCAGTTAATTTTGTCCCCTGAAAAACTTTTTAATTACGTGATGAAAATCTAAGATTAAGGAATCAATTCATTCAGAATCTTTCAGGGAAGACATTTAGGGCATTCAAATCTTTTACATAATTTTAAATTTTTATTTATTTTAGTTTTAAAGCACGATTTTGCAGTTAATAATGAAGAATAACCGCCGTTCACAACAGCCAATCACATGTCTGAAAACGGCAAGCTTAAAAAAGCGATTTACAAGTCTGAATTTTCTTTTTCAGAGATGCAACCAATCACAAAATAGTTAGAATTTCATTCTTCAGTTTTACAACATCTCAACTTATTTCGTATTGATATATTGATTAATCTGATTATTTGTTTTCTAAAACGTTAATTCGTAAGTTTAATCTGGTTCCGGCATATAAGATAAAGTTGAATGACAAGGAATTTAATTAATATGCAATACAGTAAATAAGCGAAGAGATATTTTATAAAAGTATTTAATGAAAAATAATAACAGCGAAATATATGCGTTTGCGAAGCGTTCTATTTACATCTCTGAATGTTGCCACCTATTTTTATGAAAGTTAAACTATTCTCTGCTATAATAAAATTAGACTTATGCGAACCTTACATTCTATTGATCTAAGTGACGATGGGATTTGTATTTTAAAAAAATGTGATAAGATTCGCTTAAAAAATGTTGACGTTATTATATGGGACGAAGCAAGTATGATTCCCAGAAAAGCAATAGAAATGATCGATAGAACTTTTCGTGATCTTCTAGCTAATGAGATACCATTTGGGTACCGGGGGTTGGCGAGCGTCAGCGAGCAGGGGGCGGAGCCCTCTAGTGAATTCAAAATTGCGAAGCATTGTTAGAAATTATTTTTTAGCACTACTATTAAAAAATTTCTTTGGCAAAATGAGGTATTTTTTGGTAAACAAAAGCTATTGAAATTTATAAAATAAAATTATAGATAAATTTAAAATGTTTACCGGGCAAAATTATTAGGCTTAAGTTTTGTCTCAATAAAACTACGATTATAACTAAGTAATTCTTAAATTTAGTGTATGATTATGTTTATAAATAACAAATATATTGTTTATAAATAAAATAAAAATATGTATTCTTATATAATATATTAATATTAAAAATATTTATAAATAAAATAAAAATATTGCTAATAAATTAAAAAATTTGCATAGCAATCGCGTAGGAAGAAAGGAGTGAAGCAAGCAGGAGGAAGAGTTTTTCAGTGAAAAATAAAAATTGCAATACTTTTATTGATTCGATATCCACACGAAAAAAAATCTGATAAAATTATCATACTGTATGGTAATGGTATTTCTGGTATTAAAAAAACATAATTCTGCTTCATAAAACTAAAATATACACTATTTGTTCCGTTTCATTTAAAATTTCTTCTACTCATATGGCCCCCAGTTAGCTTGTCGGTTTACTGTAAATTCTGGTTATCAAAATTATAACTCTTATTACCACATATTTTTATTAAATATACGTTGCATAAAATATAAGTATATATAAAAATACAAAACTGAAAAGTCAATTTAACTGAAAAAATGGTTTTTATGTCATGCTTATGATATCATGAGAAATTACCCAACTTCAGCACACATTTACCAAAATGTATCACATTTAATAAAATAATTGTTATTGTTTCATTGTTAATTGTACCAAATTAATTCTTGTGGTTTTTACTGTTTCACTGTTAATTTTATCAAAGCACTTCGGTAAAATCTACCGAATTTTTGGTGCTGCCATAGAGCTACATACAAGGTAAATTTTACCACATTCTGGTAGTTTTGACCATATTTATTTTCTCTCGCAACGTTTGTACTTAATTTGTTTCCAAACATTGTGATAATAGCTTTATAAATAAAATATAATACGGACTGATTAAACGAAATATAATGCTTTTTAGTATTAAATAATAAATAATAGAGACCATATAATGGATAAAAAAATACTTTTACGGTGCTGCTATAACAAATATGTGATGTAATTTAAATAACGCTTTTATATTTTATGCAGGTGATTGTATGGTAAATCACCATAAAATGGCCTTTTCAACAAAAGACCGTAAAAACAATTCTGGTACCACAGACTGTGCCATGATAAGAAAAGGTGGATGGTGGTACTTTGAATGCGCTAGAGCTAGTCTCAACGGTGTGCGTCTGACAGGAAATTATACCGAAGAAATGGTTAATACCAATGGTACATACTGGTTTACATGGAAAGGCTATACAGAATCACTATCCACTGTTGAGATTAAAATTCGTCCATTTGTTTTTCCATCTGAATAAAAATGCTCTCCATATATAATAAAACTTAGTATGAGTGTTATTAAAATATTGCCAGATTTTATAATTGAAAAACAGACGTTAGAAGGAATGTAACGGAAGTTTCTTTGTTCATGTTTTCTACAATAAATTTTTCTTTTATTTTATAACACACAATACACAAATGGCATGCGAGTAGGAGAAATATAAAAAATCGTCATATTATTATTGACGTAAATGATGCTTAATTAATTTTCTTAATTAAAACTAAACTAAACTCAGCGGCGCGACAGCCCAATGAGAGCCAAGGCCTACTGCGCCCATCCCAGTTTTCTTGACCTTTGGGCTCTGGGGTGCAGGAGCAGACATTTCGGTTAGGTGGTCAGCCGAACGCGAAACCCCAAACATGCTTGTTACTCATTTATCGACCCACTGAAGGGATGAAAGGCTGAGTCAACCTTGCCCGGCCCGAGGGTCGAACCAGGGACCTGTGGCACGACAGCGCGAAGATCTACCGCAATTTTTATAATTACTGTTAGTAATTGATGCAATTTTATAGGCACCAAATAATTAAGTAATTGATGCAATTTTAATAGGTACCAAATATAGGTAAACGGTATTATATATGATACCTATTAAAACCACATCAACACTGGGGAAGCTTCGATATAGATACTATGGAGTAGAGGTTTTTACGGTCTATAAAATAAGTACAAGAGAAAATTGCGTGATTGTGGTAAATTTCGACTATCGCAAGTTGGCCTCGAGCAACAGTATCATGCCAAATGATTCTGAATATAGTTAATCTTTATTTTGATAGAACGAACAACTTAAAGCGTGTATGACTTTATTTAAGAACTTATCTAACAACGCTTTATCTACATCCACCGGAAAATACAAAATATAACTATATATTTAAAAAATGGAATAATTTTAGTGTGTTGGTACATGTTTCTCGATACTGATACAGTGCTAGCTTTTTTCTACCCTGTACAAAGAACGGGTATTTAGCTAGTACAGTAAAACTTGTGTAATTTGACCACTTGTGGTGCATTGTTTTAGTGGTCAACTTAGACAAGTGGGCAACTTATAGAGGGGGTGGGTCATTGTTTACTTTTTCGCTTCCTACATCATGTTGCTATATATTTAAAAAAAAAAAATTCTTGATTTAAAAATTTTATTTAGCAAATGGCCGAATGAATATCTTAAGAAATGTATTTAAATCTAAATGAACTTCAGATTGTTACATATAAATAATTCTAATGTTTAACTAACCTTTTTCAAAAAAATTATTTCGTTAGTTATGCATGCATGTGAAATGTTTAATAAAAATAATTCCTTAAAATATCAGAACACGAAAACATGTAATTTGAAAACTTTAACAAAACAAAATTATTTGAACTTTAAAATTTATTCTATTACTACACTTACAAACCTATTTGCTCACTATAGCAACCTGAAGAGCAACTTTTCAACTAACACACCTGTTTTCAATGAATGAATAAAAGAAATGGTCAAAAGCTGACCCCCTACAGTTTCTCCAGATGGTCAACTCACAAAAGGGTTTAGATTAGCTTTTTACACTATTTCACCAAACAAGTGAAATTTTAACATACTACGCAAAATGACAGAAAATGTTTCTGAGTTTTTTTTTCTGGTCAACTTATAAGGGTTTTAAAATAAAATTTCATAATGCTCCTAGACAAAATTGACTTATTTCAGTGGTCAACATACAAGATAGACAGGTGGTCAAGTTACAAAGGTTTTGCTTCTTTGTATTATACAGTCAGACCTCGGTATAAGGTCATCCGCATATAAGGTCACCCCGCATATAAGGTCACTTTTCCAAAGTCCCGGCTCACTGAATAGGAATTCTTAGTTACAGATTATCGGATATATAGTCAAGTTTTAAAAATCGTTATCGTTTATAAGAACATTTTTATCTGAGGTGAGGGAAGTTTTTTTCTAACAAAAGCCTATTTAACTTTCTTTCAAGGCAATTACCCCTCTCGAGTTTTAGGAAAATGCTGCAGCCAACGAACAAACTGCAATTTCTGAAATTGTTTCACAAGTTGTGGACAGTGAGGACAATGACAGTGATCCTGAGACTGTAGCTGTAACCCAAGTGGAAGCCTTCACTGTCATGCGAATTTTTTTTACAAACCATGAGAGAGCTGAGTAATATTTTGAGAAGTTACAAAACCTAGAAATCATTGTTCGAAAAATGAAACCAGAAACGAGACAGACCTGCATAAATGATTATTTTAAATAAGATAAGATGTAATGTGTGTATGTACACTTTGAGGACATTTGTATACAACTTTATTTTAAATTAAAAGTTTTTTAAAAATCTATCTTTCTTTAATTCTTTACTAATTCTGTTAAAATTTATTGACTTAAATATTTAATTTATGACCGATCGTTTTCGTTTGTATAAACATTTGTAGAAAATCATAGTGTATACTATTTATGTGCTTAGTTACGAACTGCTAATGAATCGGTTAAAAGGTCACCCCGCTTATAAGGTAACTTTTGCGATGTCCCTTAGGGTGACCTTATATCGAGGTCTCACTGAGGAAAAATTCCGTTCTTGATAATTGAGGTCAACTTATGCAGGTGTCCAACTTGGCAGGTTTCACTGTAGTAGGATTTTGTGTGTATGGGTTTCTTGTAACTCCAGAACAGTTAGTGCAAAGATTCGGAAACTTAAACAGGGTGTGCTAAGCACGATATTATCACCCGATCATAAAAATGGTTAAGATTATTATATTCGGGAGTGACTTGTAAAATATGAGCACTTCGCATGGATTCAGCACATTGCATTGACCATATCGTAAACCATGTTACAGATGATACCGTTTTATAAATCATTTAAAAGATAACATCATTGATATTTTCCATGTTAGTTATTTTATCAAAAGCGAGTATCGAGTTTGTTGCAGGTTCCTCGATAATTAATTATTTTTGATTCGACTTAGAAAATAAACTCAATTTTGAAAACCAATGGTAATTAAATTTTAAAAAAATAAAGTTATGAACTAAAGTGCAAATTCATCAGAAAAATTGGTTGTGATATATCTAAACCAGCGGTTCCCAATTTTTTCCAGGAAACTGTACGATCGAACTACAGTTGGTGGAACCCATACTTTTAAAAAAAACGTTCATTAGCAGGTGTAAATATTCAAACGAAGAAGAAAAAAATTTCAGATTAATTTAGAAACATTCAATGTGAATAATGTCTCAAAATTAGGTTTCATGTTAAGCAGTTGAATTCGAAAGTCTGCACAGAGTACGTTTTTTGCTGTATAAGGTAAGTCCAGTAGTTTTTGCCATTAAGGTTGAAATCGAATAAAATATGCAGAACTATAACTTTTGAAAAAGTACTATTATAAATTGTGAGAAAGGTTATCAGAGAAAAATAATTTTTTATTCTTGAATTTGATTATTTTATTTTGAATTTCAAAGTTCGTTGAGAAATACTGATGCAATAATTATATATAGCATTTAGCAATTTACTTAATGCATTGTTATTAGAAAAAATACATGTATTTTTTTAAAATTTCCTATTTATTGCAATTTTACATAAATAATTTAACAAAAACAACCTTAACATTAAATTAATAATGAATTATTGCTTGACTACAAATCTATTAAAGGTTTAAAAATATCATTACTTGTTGAATATAAATCCTAAATCACGGAACCCTCTGAGATCTTCCCCTCATTCCAAATATTTTACTGAATTGTTATAGTTGTAAAAGATAATTTTGAAATTAATTTAAATTTGTGTAAATCTAAATCTTGGAACTTAAGAGATAGATTTATTTTCTAATAGCTATTCAGTAAATTATTTCCATGCACTTAGATTTGACTTTAAAATTTCATTGATACCGACCGATTTTATTTTCAAAAAAATTTGAAAAAACATAAGGTAAAATCAATAAACACCACAATGTTTTGTTTGAAATTTTATTGCATAAATAAATATAATTTATAAATCTTATTATAAATAATATGTACACAAACTTTACAATTAAAAGTTCATAAAATATATTAAACACTTTAACAACTCAATGCCTCACTGTAACAGGTTTGTTTTCTCTTTGAACAAAATAAAACAGTTTTCTATAACATTTTGAGTCTGTGGAATTGCGCAAAAATGTACATAATGAAAATATACAACTGTACATAATAACAAATTTCAAGTAGTAGAACCACCATCAACGAAAGCTTAGTAGCCTACCTTGTTTCTTCCATACATATAATATCAACAGTAAATATTGTTTAAAAAATTAAAAAAAAGTCCAAAGAATTTGGCAGTTAAGTAGATGTGTGCTAACTTCGATTTGAACTTCACCAAATATCTTTTTTCGGAGCTGTAAAAATGTATTAAAAATATCCAAGTGATAAATTTGAATTTTTTTTTTTTTTTTAAAGTTTGCCCTTCACAGTATTTTTTTATTAACTTGAATATTCTATAATTTCAAACTGTATACATTTTATAACCGGAAGTATTTCCAAAAGACACATGTTAAAATCTTACAAATTAATAATTGCAAATTAAAAATTGGAAATGAGTAATGGTAATACATGCTTATGCAATGATATTTAAATTAAACTTTTCTAGCAGTTAGGTTAAAACCAATAATACTCAATTAAAAATTAATAAAAATTTAAAATCTTAATCAAAAATCAATAAACCGAAGTTTCATTGCTTACTTTGGTTCATTCAAACCATATTTAGTACCAACAAAATATTTTCTTAACAAAAAAAAAGCTCTACAGAATTGAACAATTAAGTAGATTGTTATTATGCTAACTTTAATTTGAACTTCATATCATTTTAATATATTATAAGAATTCATCAAATTCCATGCTACAAATTTGAGTTCTTCTCTAACAGGAGCAAAAAAATTCTTGCTCTTCACATAATTTTTTCATTAATTTGCATATTCTGCAATGTCAAACCCACAGCATATCTGTATCCTGGAGGCTAAAGAAAATGCTTTATAATGCTTTATGAATGATTAGTAGTTACTTCTTCTAAATTGGAAGAAAAATATAAATAAAAATTCAATAAATTTTATGCCTATTGAAAAAAAAAGTAATTTGACTTTGACATTTTAAGCAATAGGATGCAAATAGTAACTATAAATGATGTATTTAAAATTATTAGCTAAAGAAGAAAAAAACTATTGCTTCAGGAAGAAAAAAAAAATTCAAAAACATTCTAATTTTCTTTAAGAATATACCATACCTAATTAAGAAAAAAACATGCTGCAAGACAAACATGCTAATATACATTTAATAATAAATAATCATTGATTTTCAAATGTTGTTAAATAACTTTACAGTTATGTGACATTTTATAAAGTTCTTTTTGGAATGCTTGTGTGGTGGCAGCTCCACTACTGCTTTTAGATTGAAATGATGTAAGTACTTTATACAAAGTAGCTTAATGAAGAAAGACATATTACAGCATGACACCAGTTTCCCACACAAATAAATAACACAACAATAAATTACATTTAAAAAAATAACATCTATTTACACTTTAACAAATATTTATGTGTGAGCTACTTAAAAAAAAAACATTCATAATAAATTAATGTTTTCAGTCTCTTTGAAACATAATACACATCACAGAAATAAGAATCTAAAGAAAAACTTTCTAGCAAATAAATATATAATAAGATTTTGTTTTTTAAAAAAAATTCATGCCAACATTTTCAGGATATGATTTGAAAGTAGAAAAAGGGACATGAATCATTAATGTATGTCATTTTATGTACTCAACTTATTAAAATATTAATAAGAATTGATGCACCATTCAAATGTTTTTAGAATGACAGCGGAAAGAAAAGCAAAAAAGGCTTCACTTAATTCTGTCTGTATGGGTATGACTTAATTTAGTTCTAAATCTTTACAAATAATTAACAGAAACAAATACAGAAAGGAGTTCTGAAGAAACGTTTTGATAGAAAAAGAAATACTGATAGTTTATTAATTGTTCGAAGAAATAAATAACAGAAAATAAAACAAAGCCGAAAATAGAAATATTAAAAAACAGTTTGTATTTTTAAAAACGAAGACAAAAAAATATACAAAATGCAGGGTGCTCTATAATCACTTTCCTCAATATATATTTATTTCTAGATTCTTTGTGGGAAAAAATATATGTTTAAGGGTTTGCAAATTAATATTCAAGTGAGAAGTGAGGAACAAACAAAACTGCTGCTAAAGAAAAGGAGACTGAAAACCTGTTTGATTTGCTAGAAGAAACAGAGAGTTAAAAAGCAATCATTAAAAACGACTTTAAGTTGCATCATGCAATCAAACTGGTTTTGATGCTATTGCCTTCCTCACAAGCGATACATATTTTGATAAAATTTTTCCTTGCTGAAGCATTAATACCAGACACCAAAAAAGCTTACTTTTTGGCAAAGTTTCTGAAAATATATATTAAGTGCAGTGATTAAGAAATCAAGCTTTTGCCAGAAATGCAACGCAATGAGTTAATATTATAGAATTTCTTAAACTTAAAATACATTTGATTTATACAATATTTATAAGTATATATATTTTTTAAGTTATTTTCTAAGAAAAGCTATTGTCAAAATGTATTAATTAGTAAAATTATCTATAAAATAAATAGTATTAGCAAAAATACTAAGGCACAAGAGTTCACAATCAAACCTGTTAAAGCTTACACACTATCATGCACTCAGAAATTAAACAGGTAAGCTGCTGACAATCATAGGAATCAACTACATATAAATATACAATAAATTATAATGTATGCAAGAATTTTGATATAAAAGAGCCAGGCATGTTAAAAAACAAAATTTGTTGACTTAAAACAAAAAAATTTTAACCTTGAGCGGCTTAATTATTCAGTACACTTTCACTTGTGTATAATTTTTTACTGACTATTAATTTTTATGGTAATTACAATTCTAACAAATTTTAAAAGATTTTTTTATTACACCTTAATTGTGTACTAATTTATTATTAAATATGCCCAAATTAATAATTAGAATAAACTAAACAAAATTAAATTCTTAATTTCTCACTAATTTCATTTAATTCAAAATTTACGCACAATGCAAAAAATTATATAAAGCATTTAAGAATTTGCAATTAAAATGCATTAAAAAATTATTACTACAAAATGATACAAAAGTGCATAAATTCATCAAAAATGCAAAGTTTGGAATTAGTTTTTAAGTCGTCCTAAGGCGACTTATATTATAAGAAGTAACTTAAAAAATACAAACCTTTTTAATATATTTTAATTTTATTAATGTCATTTTATTATTTATCTTCATTTAAAAGGATTTATATAGTTTTATCATCATTGAAATTTAGTAGCCAAGGCCAAATATTGCAAAAATGTACATGACAAAACTTTGTATTATTAGGAATGCAAAATTTTAATTTCTTTAAAAATTATTTAATATTGATATTAATATCTTCAAAAAATATTAATAAAATATTGGTATTAATTTACCAATACTTTATTAATATTTTTTGAACGAATTACTTTTACTGTTTTTTTTAATAAAAAAAGGAAAGAGAAAAAAGTACAAAAATTCTAATTTGTCTAGAAATATATAAACAGTTGAAATTATGAAAAAGTAATTAAAATAAATTTTTGATTTTTGACACAGACAAAATGCGACAGAAATAAATTTTAAAATGTAGATTTCTACAAAAAAAAAATAAATGCAACTTGAGTATCAATAGTTTAACACAAGTTAATGACATAGTGCCAGTTAATAATTGCGAAAGTAACAAAGATTTTATAGCAACAATAGCTAATTTACATTAATCTGTGAGTAAGACAACACTATATATGTCTTCTCACTATTGACAGAATACCTCAGAGTTGGATACAGTATCAATGTTTGAAATTAAATCTCTGCTAATTCAGTAAATTTATGATATATTTTTAAAAAAAATATAGAGATTCAAGCTTCTCAAGAAAGTAAACAAATCAAGCTGCTTATGGAAAAAAAAGTACTGGATGATTTTTTCTAACTGAATATCAAGACTAACTCCATCTCATTGCTTAACAAAAATGATCGCCTTGAAAACCAATTTTTAAAAAAGAAATTGTTGATTTTATTTGTCATCTGCCTTAAGGAGCATTTCCGTCATCTTAAGATACTTATTATAGCTGTTATTAGGGTAATTCAATAAAAAAAAAGTTAAGAAAGAATACAAATCTTAGTATCATAATAAAACTTTAAAGTATTGATATAAAGTTTCCATTAGGGTTGGTTATTAGCGATCTTTTATTAGAGGATTTATTATTATTATTAATTATTACTATTGTTTAATGATCTGTTTATGGCATATGGTCAGGATTATTAAAAACATTTCATCAAACAAAACTTTACAAGCTATCATGGAACCATAATCTGAAGAAAGAAATAGTGTTGCCAATTGCAAAAGAAAAATTTAAAGAGAAAATAGTAATTTCAATTGCACAAAAAATAAATGATTTTATAAAGAGGGAAACATTTTTAATTAAATAAAAATAAATGACAGCTATTCTGACATTTAAAGAAAAAAATTTTACTTTAAATAAACAAATTATGTTGGATAAGTATATATTAATTTAAAATGATATAATCATAAAGCTCTATAATTAAAAAGTAAAATCAAGCAATATTTCTTGATAAAAAATATTGGTCAGTCTGAGAAGTTGTCAGATATACAAAGGTCAGTCTGAAAGTCCACATGAAATTTTTCTGATGATGAATTATTGCAATTAATTATATTAATTAATTAATCAATTTTAAATATATATAGAGATAATACAAAAAATGCAATAATTAATTTGGTAACAAAAATTAATTATACTAATATTTTGTTTCCTTTTATCAAAATACCACACATTTCAGTTTTAATAGTAAGCTCATTCCAGTTATGTTGCATTTAAAGTTATGTAAACTGTCAAATGAAATTGCAACAAATTAAAATGCCTGCTAGCATATTGTATTCTGAATACATTGCAATAAAAAAACTTAATTTATCTAACTTTTCTCAATATAAAAAATGTATAAAGTATTGTAAAAAGATGTAATGATTTTTAAAAAAAAAGAAAAAGAAACAAAGCTATCATGCTCTATGGTCATGATGTTGGAGATGAAGGTGGCTCACCATCAGGTTTTACTATCTGGTAAGTGATGAGGTATTCTGGATAAGCCTATTAATAAATATATAAATATATATTTATAATTTTAAGCTATATACTTCTAACATATAAACTTATATACTATTATAAGTTAAAATAGACATACAATTTTAGTTTAGCACATAAATAAAAATAGAAATGTTGAATTGCATTGAAAATTCATGCTAATTTTGAAAGAAAAAAAAAGAAGACTGAAACACAACATGTTTAAACTTTTTCATTAACAAAGCACTTAGTACAATCTAGCAAAGGTTCCAACTTTACTCCTAAAATTCTTCTCTTGTCTCTAGTCCAGTGCCTTGCAACCTTTAATCTGATATGCCCCATCTTCATTTATTTGCCTCTGCCAGGTTATCCTGGTTCTACCCCTTTACTTTTTGCCACTTGGAGTTAAGACATGGTTCATCTATCTTCACCATCTTTTGCAAATATTTCCCTAATAGTTATCATTCTGACTTTTCAGCAAAACTTCATTTCTGATCTTACTAGGCACTGGTATTTAAAAAGTGGATTTAAAACATCTATTTTGAACCACTTCAAATTTATCAATGTCAAATCTACTACAGAAGCATGTTCCTGTACCACACAGCAACAACACTGCTCTGATTATTGTTTTGTATCAGTTGGATTTTTTTAGTTGCTTATTATATTAAATTAAGTCTAGAATTTTTACAATGGTCTAAAATCATTATCGTTATATCCAACTAACGTTCTATTCTATCTAATATCCAACTCAGTTCCTTCACTACTCTTTGAAATAGAATCCAAATGTTTAACTTCAAAAAAGTCCTCAACTTCATCCTTATAGAAACTCTGGTATAGATAGATAAAATCATATAAAGTGCCATTTTACTTCATAACTTTTCAGCATCTTTTTTCAAGCAACTTGAAATTTTTTTCTAGCATCATCATCAAAAAACTTTTCTACAGAAGTTTTTAACTTTTCCAGTTGCTTTTATTGTAATAACAGGAAAACTGAAGGCATAATAGCTTGTGATTAGGGTGAATAAGTTAGAACATTATGACCGAGCTCTAAAAGTTATTGTTCAAATGTCATACATACATAAATCATTAAAAGATTTGCTATTTGTGGATACTTTCGCTTCACTGTTGACTTTAGTTTGTCTAATTATGAGCAATGTCTTCCTACATTTTTTGTCTAATAAATACAATCTAATTCAACTTGCAATAGCAAATCTTCTCTTACTTTTTGCCTCTTTAAATAAAAATATATCTATTATCATTTGAAATTAAATTCTAATAAATATATCAAACAAATATGAATATTCTATCCAACGTAAAAAAATATTTTGTTCTAAGGAAGTTTCAAAACCTAACCTAGAAATCTCAAAAAACATTGTTGTCCAGCATTTTTTTTTTTTCTTTTTCAATTCTTGGGGTCCAAAAAAACAATTTTTTTCTTTCAAGGAACATCAAAAGACGTTGTCCAATCTTATAGGCAAATTGCATAAAAGAATTATGATTTCTTTCAAATAAATTAATAAATTGTCCCATAATAAATTTTCACATGACATATTTTCTTAACTAGTTTAACTAAATCTTTTAAGCTTAAGAACAAATAATTTATTTAATATCCTTAAATATTTTCAAATGTCAAAAAATTGCAAAAAATGTCAAAAAATTGCCTCCTTACCTGCTCTCCTCTATACACAACATACTCAGGATAGTAAAGCCCACCTACACTGGGTCGACCAATAACAGAATGATGCCCGGGAGGTGCGTGAGCCATTTTCATTGCGCTAAATTGTAAGAAAGACTTGCCAAGAGTTACTCTACAAAACACTAGCTGCCTAAAAGGGAAATAAAAAAATTAAGATTAATTTAAAAATTTGAATAAACAATATTAAATTTTTATATTAATACAGTTAGAAACATATTTAAAATATTTTCAGAACTCATAATCACATAATTTTTTTAACTAAAAAATACTGAGATTGACTTTTAATGCACCTGATGGTAAATTAAAATGAAAAGAAAAACATAGTGCAAAAGTTGAACCAGCATAATTATAAGAATTCACATTTTCATTCACAGTTATTCACATTTCAATTCACTTTTGTTTGAAACAATGTAATTTGTTAATCAGGGGTGATTGTGAGCCCAAGCCAAAAATCCAGAAAATTTCTTGAGTTAAAAAAAAAGTTTAAATTGAAAAAAATTTAAACAAGTTTATTTTTCCATTTTCTCAATATTTCTTAGTTTACTTAAAATATATTCACAATTTTACACATACTTATACCATTTACACATACCTATGATGACCTGGAGAAGTAATTAAAATTTACAAATATGTCTTTTTTTCTTGAGTTTATGATTATAACAACTATTTACTGATAAAAAATGAATATTAATCATGATTATACGCTTATGAAGTATCTCTCTGGCTCTCCTTTACAAACAAATAAAATAAACTGTGTTTTTAAGTTCCACCTTTGAAAACTTGATTTCCGGAAACTTCTGTGATCAATGATTTTTAACGTCTGGACCTTCAATCTCCGGAAACTTCCGGATCACTGTTAGCGAAAAATCCGGAAATCCGGATTTTTTCCGGAGCACAATCAGCCCTGGTTAATGTAATTTTGTTTGAAATAATGTAATAGTATGTAAGAAAAATTTCTGATTAAAAAAACATACATAAATTTTATTTTGTTTGGTTGTTGTTTTGTTGATACATACGTTTGCAATCCTATTTTAAAAAAAATTAAGAAAAAACTTAAGACCGAATGTAAGTGTATGAGAATGTAATACAAGGGTTAGCTCACAAAGGGCACTAAGAGCAATGTCTCAACCTATGGCAACTCTGCCTAAGAACAGAATAGAGTACACTTAGATAGATTTTTTTTGCCACATATCACGATTAAGTAAGATTACGAACCAGTCTGGTTGAGACGCCGTTTATCGAGATGCACATTAGATATGATATGCTGAGATAATGCCATCAGGATCCATTATGAACATACTTCAATTGTAAACCAAATATAAAACTTGAATCATGTTTAAAAAAAAAAAATTAAAAAAGAGCATGCTCATAGCACATAAATAACTTGTAAATTTATTATCAGAACATCTCACAAACAGCAGGAAAATTTTACTCATATTTGAAAAATCCATTAAAGAAAAAGAAGTATAAAGTTTGCTGCATTCTGCTAAGAAAACAAATTTCATAATTAGCTACAAATTTCATCACCAAATGGTGAAGCTGACAAAAAAAAAAAAAATAGGTAATGTTTTTGCTGCTTATCAGACCATTCCCACTTTTTTTCCCAATGCCCGTCTGGGAATGACCTACCTCATACAGACATCTAAAGGGCAGATTTGTTGGCCACTTTTCCAAGGGTACCATATTAGGTGGGAAAATGTTGCTCCTGCAGTAAGGACAGATAATACAGAGAATGAAAGAACATCCGTGCCTTGCCCAGGATTCGAACCCAGAACGTTTCTGATGCAAGTTCCCTGACCCCTACACAGACCATTCGACAGATCATTCCAACAAAAATAATAGCTTGAACATCTTAATTTTGTCCTAAAGCAACCCACCTTTGTTGTTGTGATCACTAGTTATTTTTTAAACATTGTTTTATAGTTTTCACAGTTAACTGTTTCGTTCGCTGATAAACTTAACAATTTCAAAATTTTCTCTAAAAAAAAAAAATAGCAGGCTCCTAAGCAAAAGGCAGAACGTTTTTACCTTAATTTCTTTTTTTGAAATACATGTTTCAAATTGTATGTCATCTTTGACCAACAGTTTGTTTGATTGGTGATTATAATAATCAAGCAAATGCAAAACAGAAAAAATAAAATTTTTATAAAACCTTTAGCAATAAACAATTATTTTATAAATAAAGATCATTGCATCAAACATATTTTTTTTAAAAAAATAGTTTAATCTTTAAAAATGACATAATTTAACTTTAATATAGAACTTACCTGTGGCAAATGTAACATGATCTGTCCTTGTGGAGAGGGCATCCAGTGCCACCTCCAATTCCATAAACATACTGGTTGCTTTTTGAAGAATTTTCAGCAAAGTAAATTCCTGCAAAAGTATTAACGAATCATTTAAAATAACACAATTAAAATACATAAAATATAACTGTTGATAATACATGTAAAAATACATATCAGTGATTAAGCTTACTCACTACAGTGCATCAAATATGTCAGAAATTATACAGGGCACAAAAAAAAAGGTTACGATACTTCCCCAAGAAGGGTAACTTCAACATTCCAAAAATAGAAAAGAAAGGGGAGGAAAGCAAATCTACAGGTTTGCAGGCAAAAGTAAACAAACTTTTTTTTCTGTATTATAGCAAATGGAGAAAATAATTTTGATATGGAAATTTTTTTTAATTCTGTGTTAATTTTTTATTACTGAATTAATTAATAATCACAATTTTTTTAATCATAAAGTCATTATTTTTATAAATATTTTAAAAATAAAGATTTAAATTATGATAAATGGAGACAGTTTTTATTTTTAAAAAAAAAGGACCCAAAAGAACCCAAGAAATTTTCAAAGACTACAGAATCACTGATATATGAATATGATAAATTTATAAAAAATTATCAAATATATATATATATATNTAGTTTTAGTTTCACAGTTTTAACAATTTGACAAACTGAAAGAGAATTCTTTTTACAACTTTTTTTTAAATAAAAAGTTATTTTTTTGGCAAGATTTTATATTATATATATGTTTTTTGCTTGAGATAGAAATAATTGTCATTATTGATATTAATTATTTAAATTTATATGTATGAAAAAAAGAGCAACTGAAATTTTATAATTTGAAAAGAATCTAAGTAAATAAAAACATACCTGCTCCAAACATTCCACCAATGTAGGCATGACGTTCATCAAAACCTTTTTGTACTATCGCATTTATGAAGGGGGAACCATGAAACAACATACGCTCATTAGCCTGGTTATGATTCTCTTCACTAACTTCTTTACGCCTATGACAATACTTCTCCCATAATTTTCTGTTACGTACCTTTTGAATCTAAACAAATAACCACAGTTTTCAACTAATACAAAAGAATCAAATTTTGTAGTTTAAATTATTAAAATGAGCTGAGTTAATAGATACAAAATGGAAAATGATTAATTGAGAAAAATGTCACATATTCCACTTCCAGATACATCAACTGATTCAACTAAGATTTTTTCTTCTGATCCCCCTGGCAGAGTTGTGGTGACATTGTCGCAAAACTTTACCGAGTTCTGGCAGAAAGATTTTTCCTTTGGAAAGTAAAAAATTTAGCTTCTCTTTCCTGCAGAAATTTTTGAAAGATTTTATCTTTTCTTCAGAATTATATTCAAAAGATGCCTTTCTCGCAAATCGGAGTGGAAAAAAATACTTATGATTTTTCCATTCTCATTTGAGAATAATGAAGAAAAAAAAAAATTTTCTTTCTATTTTTTCAAGCAGTTATTACTACTGATTTCCACATAGCTTTTAAAATCCGATATTTTTAATACTATATTATTTATTACAACTGAATCTCAAAATGAAAACACACATTTAGTAACCCTTTTTGATGAGTCCAATTCGTGTGAGTTCGCCGTCGATCTCTTTTTTCGGTAGTTACTGCAACAGATTTCATGATCTTTATTATTTTTTTAGCGTGATGATGAATTTCAAACTGTGAAAAAGGAAATAATTAGTGTTATATCTTCCTACAAAATGTGGGAATATCGCTCATTTTAAAAAAAATTTTCCTTTGATCTGATTTTTTTATTTATTAATTTTTTGAAGTTAACGCGTCTCCTACTTTAAATTAACAACATGTATATTTGCTATTTTTAAGTATCTTGCAGAAAGATATTAGTATTAGAGAGGTATGTCGCAGAAAGCACGAAAAAATTTTGCCACAGGGCCTCTGATAAAAAAAAAATTATGATTAACAATTTTATTTTGTTAAGAATGTTATTTTTTTAAAATGTTATTTGTTATTTTTAAGTATTTTGCAGAAAGATATTGGTATTCGAGAGGTATGTCGCAAAAAGCACTAAAAGATTTTGCCACAGGGCTTGTTAAAAAAATTTATAATTAAAAATGATATTTTGTTAAGAATCTAAATTGAAATTAAGCATAAAATAAAAATAATAAAAACGTGTTCAAGAGAAGTCTAAATAAAAGCACTCACATAAAACAAAAATTTTAAAATTTGTTTGAAATATGTTATGCAAATAAAACATAGGGTTGAAACTTAGCTAAAAATGCGAATTTACTAAATGTGAGCTAAAAATAATAAGCTACCTAAATATTATCCTCAAAAACTAATAGCAGCCAATACACATTTTTCAGCAATCTAAATGTTAAAATGCTTGCAATAACAATAATATCAATGCTTGAAAATTGTATTCTTTAACCTACAGCTTACTTCTTTAAAAACTATATACTTTTATAGATTAACTTATGCTTATTATATATAATAACTTATTCTTATTTCTCAGCAAATTTTTGTTTAAAAAATAGATAAAACAAAAAAGTTTTTGCATTAAAAAAGTAAAATGCTATTTTGCTACACATTTGAGTGAAAAACTAGAACGAGAGAATGTACTTTCTGCTCTGGAGCACAAAATTAATTTTGCCATTGTAAAAAAAAAAAAATAAAATCAAAACATTCATACATTTTAATAAATTAGATTATTAAAATTATATTTATTTATACTGCATATTTGTATTACAATAAGCTTTATTTTATCACACTAGGGACAAGCTTAAAGTTAGTTTCTCATTTAAAGAAAAATTCCACTACCAACAACATGTCATTTTAATTAACAATTTTATTAAGCTCTAATGTACAACACATTCTAAGAGATTTTTATAACTGACGGCCATTCCTTCAAAATCCGATTCCCAAAAAAAATTTAATTCTTACCAAAGCTTTTGTGTTTTTTCAGAAGATGTCCAACACCTATGCAAAAGCTAAATATGTGCCAAAAAAAGTTAATCTTTAATATTTTTTTCCAGAGAAGTGAATAGATCCTAATGAGTATTCTAATTTTTGTACAATAAGACATTCCATGCAAAAATCACACTCAATTTTCTTTCAGTTTAGTTACTTTTATTTCATTTCTTCTAACTAAAATCACATAATTCTGCTCGTACTAGAGTTCACCCTAGGAATAAAAAAGGGCACGGTGCTTCCTCACAGAAAAAAGCACTTTAAATATTGAAAGGACACACACTTACCACTGTTAAAATATATTAAAATATGTATTATTATGCAATAACTAAATTTGATTCTCTATTTTTAAATAACCCTCTTATACTATTTTATGTGTATAATTCACAAAGAAATTCTCACCCATTATCAAAATAACAGAAAATTTTGAAGCTTTTGAACAATAATTAAAAGCAAGTTAAAAAACTATCTCTATGAATAAATTTTCTTCAACAAAAAAAAAAAAAAAAAAAAAAAAAAAAAAAAAAAAAAAAAAAAAGGATTAATTGATAAATAACTTGAAAGCTTTTTGAACTTTTAATTTATTTCTTGAGCTTTTTGAATTTCAACTTTTTAAACTGAAAATTATAAGAAAATAAACATTTAAAGGAGCATTTTTTAATAAAAGGTATTTATTAAAAAAATAATGGTAAAATTTAAAATCCCTAAAACACTCATTGATATACCCCACCACCACCAAATAAAAGATTAAAATATCTCAAGGACCAAATATCATGCAAATTTTAACTACAAAACTAGAACACATTTAAAAAAAATCTTACCAGAGTGAAGCAATGGAATAAAAAATTGAAGTTAAATAATTATAAACAGCTAAATAAATTGGAAGTGAACTTTTCATTAAAAAAGGTGGTAAAGAAAACAATATTTTTCTGGAAAAAAAGTCAGTAATTTTATGAGCGGAAACTTATTTTTACAAAAAGAAGGAGGGTGTATTTATCGGGATCAAAAGACAGGCGGGAGGGCCTTCCTTCTAAAAACACTTAGGGAGAACACTACTTAAAAAAACAATAGGTATTGAATATATTGAACATGAATACTGAATATGCACAGAATCTGAAATTTTGGTGAAAACCTGATAGTATGGTAAATATTCTTACTTTTAAAATGTTATATCTCATGAAAACTCCACCAGCATGCCCATTGTCTCTATGTTCTCTTATAGTGGCTTGCATCTGTTTTTAAAATGCAAAAATACATTAATGAAAGTTGAAAAAACATATGTATATTAATAAAAATTCAAAATTATGCAAATAATTATGACAATACTTTAAAAAAAAAACTTACTTCTTCTTCTACTGCTTGATACTCTTTATCTTCTAAAGTGAGTTCAACAAGTACAGTTCCAGGCTTATTAGGCATAAAAGTTGATGCATCTGATTTAAGAAAAAAAGGTAAAAAATTAAATGCAATAATAATGAGTACAAAATTAAACAAATATTTTTAAAAAAACATTTCATTGAAATAATTTTAGACTAAGATTTGTCAATATTTGTTATAATAAAATCTATCTCAGTAAAATTCTATCAAAATTCTCTTAGAAACACATAAATTTATAAAATAGTAAAAAGACAGAAGCTTATTTTCATAATTTTGTCTAACAACAAAGTAGTTCGGGCAAACAGGAAATTTTAAATGTTAATTTTGGCAATACTGTAGCTTCAGTAATTGTTTGAAATATGTTGCCATACAACGTTCATGCAGTTAGAATGGGATTATGTGTCACTTCACATAACAGTAACATTCTTCGTCCTTTTCAAAGCAATGTGTACCACACGCATTCTTTAATTATAAATGAACTGAATTATAAATGAAAAAATAAAAAACTAAAGGAAAAGACTTCATGTATTAATTACAATATCAAGGCATAAATTTATAACAATGCTAAAAAAATATAAGTGTCTTATTGCATGGTTTATTAAAAAGGAATATAAATTAATAAAATAAAAAAAATTTTATTTATGAAAATTATATACTGTTTAAACAGATCACTAAATTAATTGTGTCCTTCTTACACAATAATAGCATTAAACAATTAGTGCTTAATATAGCAATGGAGTGAAAAATCCATAAATTCATTTTTCTATGAAGAAATATATTCTTTGAGGAGATGAATTAATGAGTTCTATAAAAAAATAAATTTTTCAGGTCTTATGTAATAAATTACACTATGCAAATACTAAAATATTTCTTAAATAGTTAAAAGGAATAATACTGAATATGATCTAAAAGCAGTTTTTAAACTTTCACCACAATTACTTAAAGAATTCAATTCTTTAATTGAAATTTTAAAAAAAAATCTAAAAAAATATGAATCACATCACGAAATCATGTATCAGAAAAGAAAAATTATATTCTAAATTTAAATTATTTAGCGTCATACTTATTAATAAGCATTTATAATTCAGCAACTTTTCTTGTTTATTGGAACTATAATTTATTTTTATGAGCACTTAGAATATTACATTAATGTTAGGGATGTAATAAATATTTGACCACTATTTGGCCGTTTTGCTGAATATTTGACTAAGTATTTTTTGGAAAAGTATTTTTCAACAAAGGTGTTTTTTTGTGGGGAATTTGAATAGATTTAATAAAGAATAATCTAACATCGTTATTTTTGCTATACATTATTATAAATAGTTTTTACACATATTTGTTAAGTTCTAAAAATTTTTAATTTATGTTCTGAAAGACAAATGGAAAAGGGAAACTTGAAGAATCGAAACTAGATTACTTTATACTTAACCATAAGTTTTGTACTACTGTTTTCTTTATTTTTTTTATTATATACAGACAATTCTATTTTTTCCTTCTATCAGTATTTTCGTAAAACAAAGCATTTTTTATAAAGAGTGTTTCTAATTAATGTTATTCTTTTATGGTTATAGTTTTATAAAATATATGGCAAACTGAAAAAGCTAGATTTTTAATGTTTACATTTTTTGTTTAAAAACTAAGAAACACTTTTACTTTAGATTATGTCTAGCTTTTTTGTTTTTAAAAATTTTTGTTTTTATAAACATTTCTATTATGGTGCAGCATTTAAGAGTGTCTCAATTAGACTATGTTCTTCACTTTTTTCTTGAAAATACAGTAATTGAAAAACAGAGATATTTAGCTTTAGATCTTAATTTTTGAAAAAAATTTTAATTTTCTTTTAAAAATTAAGATCAATGTCTGTTCTGCTTTTGTATATGATTTTTTTTATTGACACTTTTATGAAAGCAGTGCATTTTTAAAAGAGTTTCTGATAGACTATATCTCTTTTAATGCTTCATGGATAATTTGTTTCTTTTTTTGTAAAATATTTTTAGCATTAAAGATTTGTTTTAAAAATTAAGAGGATATTTTTTCTATTTCCTTTTTCTTTTCTTCAACTTTAGTTTTAATTTATCTTAAATATTTCTAATTATCTTTATGATCTTAAATATTTCTATTATAGTTTTTTTTTTTTTCATTTACCTCATAACAATAATGTAGTTAAATTTTGATAATTTTTTAGTAATGGCTGAAGTTATTTATATATAAAACTAGCTATACTTATTTAGATAGATATATATATAAAAAAATCCTTAATATTTCTGAATGATTTTTCTTTTTTTAAAAGAATGTTGATAATAGGCAGCTAAATAATCAGTTGATTGTTTTGGCTGAATATTCGTCCAAATCACTATTTGCTACATTAATAATTAATATCATTTATGATATTAATTTCAACAGTATACTTACTATGACCAGTATACAGTTTCTCAATGCCTTTGAGAAGTTTGTGCCTATGTCCATATGCATTAATTCCTATTTGCTTTAATTCTTCATGGCCCATTTCAGCCAGAATGTCTAAAGATATCTAGAAAATATTTAAACAATAAAAAATTTGGCAACTTAAATTAAATAAATAACACAATATATAATTTAGTATTGATACTTATATAAATATAAGTTTCGTGTTAAAAAAAATACCAGATTAATCTTTTTACTAACTAACTCCCTGGCATTACAGTCCATGTTGGACCATGGCCTTACTAACAATTTTCCTCCAAAGTCGCCTGTCTCTAGCTCTTTGTTTCCAGTTTCGGACTTTTAGAGTTAATATTTTTATAATTAAAACAATTATTTACGCCACAAATAATATTTTAAGTTTGACCATTAATTAATAATAAATTAAATGTATTTACATGAATTGAATGCTTAGATATTAATTATATGAAACAAATTATTATATTGATAAAAATATTTAAAAAAATTCAATGGAAATTTATTATAAATGCATTTTAAAAATAAGAATATAATCAAACATTAAATATTAAAATAATTGTTAATAAGTTATTAGAATAAAAACTAGGATAAAGCACAAAAAAATTTTAATGTTTATCAGAGCAATGAAATTATACAAAATTCAAAATGATATTAATTTAAATCTAAATTTGAAGAACTAGAAAAATTTTGATTTACTACTACAGAGATTTCCTTTTTGACTAAGAAGGTTAGGAAATACTTGGAACAATATTTTATTTCAGCTATTTACTTCAACTTTCAATTAACTATTGTATAAAAAAGAATCAGTACAAAAATGAATCAATTGATCAAAAATGAATCAATAAATCAGTTGATAAATAAATCACATAAACAGTAAACTGAATGCATTAGTAATTTTTCAATCTGCTAATTTATTTATACATTGGCGATTTCACTAATTTGTTGACACCCTGATTTATTGATTTGCTGACTATTTGCCTGACTGATTTACTGCTTTATTACTTTTACACACTGATTCGAAAGTTCATTTATTCATTGACATATTAATCTGTTTATTTGGTGGTTCATTGATTTTTAATTTATTAATTGATTTGCTTATTTATCAATTCTCCCATTCATTTATTCACCGATTCATCAATTTGCTAATTTGCTGTTTCACTGATTTATTCACTGATCCTATTATTCGTTTTATTTTTCACATTGAAATCAATTAAATATGTTATTCTGTTATTTACTGAGAAAGAGCATGTTATAACTGAAAATTACAGAAACCACTTGATATAAAAAATTTTTTAGGGCTTTCCTAACTTTCATAGTAAATGTGCATAATTACAGAAGCTAAAAACTGTGCATAAAAACAGATTATGGCTATTAGAGATTAAAATATATAGATCATATGTTTCCTTGAACAGCTGAATCAGCTATTAAAAGATGATATGCATAAAATTAAAATATTTATTACCTTAATCTTAGAAACTGAGCCCATTTCCATTAAAAAAGCAGCATTATTTCTGGTTTATAAGTCAACTTTTTACTCCCTTAAATTGTAATATTTTGCATTTTTACTGTTAATTTATAGAAATAACACAGGTATTTATTCCTAAAATAAGACAATAAGCATAAAAAAAACTTCTACATAAAGCTAAATACAAACATAAAAAAGTAGTCAAACTTTTACAGGGCCATGTAAGTTTTTAATTTTTATTCTTCAAATAGATAAAATATCAATAATTCATCAGAATCAGATCATCAGAAGACTAAACAACCATTGATTGAGAGTGAAAGAGTAAAAATGAATTCAGAGCAAAAATTTAGAATTGTGTTATTAAATTATTATACAGAGTTTTTTTTTATAATCAATTTATATCGTAGAAAAAATGGAATTTTATGTTTGGTTATAAATTTGTGTTTAGCAAGTGTAATTTCAGTATTTAACTTACACAACAAGCCCACCATTTTGAATTTAAAAGCAGAGGATCAATATACACACTGGAAAACACAATATGTATTTAGAAATTATAATTATGCGTATTTATGAAGTATTATTACTTGTTCTTTTTCGAATGTTTCTGTCAAATGTTCCATGCCAAGACTCATCAGAAAACCAGTTATGCCTACATTCTGCATTGTAGGATCTGGAGCCTCAGCTTTGTCAAAGTCAACACAGCCATCACCATGTTGAGAGCCTGATGATGTGGCTATAGGTGACAGTTTTTGAGAAGGAAAAAGATTGAGAGGGGAAACTGGAATGTCATTTTCTAACACAACTGTCACTGGAGAGACGGTAGGAATACTGAAAACAGAAGAAAGATGCTTTTAAAAAGATAATACAAATTTTATAACTTATATACTTCTAAAATCAAGCTATTTCATCTTCCTTTTTTTTTTGTAAGGACTTAAATATTTTTATTACTCATTCCCCAATTTTTAATTACTAACATCTCAAATCATTTAACCTTTGACATAAATCGGAGAATGGTATCCTTTCTATATATTTTTTCTGGTGCTCTAGTTACAAGCATTGGTATATTTTAATGCTAAAAAATAGCCTAACAGTTACTAAAAAGAACTGTTAGATTCTCATAATAATATTAGTTAGAAAATATTAAAAAAATAGAAAGTAGTTTGAATTTTTTTCTTTTATTCATATTCAAAAATTTATCAATAATTGATTTCGAAATAATTCATATAATGAATAACAGTTTCTTTTAGGTCTAAACTGAAAATAAGTAAAAATTTGAAAAATTATTGATTAGAAGTGAGCCATGTTTGGAAGATTTTACTTTTAAGGTAGAAAAAGACACTGGTGTTTTGTGCTGTATTTGATATCCATAAATATGATATTTTTCACTTATTTTGACCTAAATTACTACGAAATAATGAAAAAAGTATGAAAAATATGTGTAATAAAATTCTGCATCAAAGCACTAAAAGCATGATTTATGCTTTAAGTGCTTTGATGCAGTTTATTAATCTGCATCAAAGTATGCAGTTATGAAAATATAGTTGCGATCAAAATCAGAAAATGCAGTAAGTATGCAGTTTGATGCAGTTATTAAACTGCATTAGTACCAGTTTATTAAACTGGTACAAAAATTTGTTCCTAACTTATTTCAATAAGAAAAGCAATCAAAATAAATTTTTAATTGTATGAAAATAGGTCTCAAGAATATTATAAGAAAAACCTTGCTGCCTTAAAAAAAAACCTTAAAAAAAAATTTATGAAAAATAAGCAAGTTATCCATCAAAATAATACAAAAAGTTAAAAAAAAACAATTTCAATTTATTTTGTGTAAATAAACTTAATTTCAAAGATAATTCAGCAATAATTTAGTTAAAGCTAAAATGTTTAATGAAACATAATTAACTTTCTCAGACTTATGTTTTATAGGTTTCTTTAATATGTATGTTATTTTATTGATTACTAAAATCGTTTTGAAGATTAAATTTATTATATTGTTACGCAAAGTAAATTTTTCATGTTCAATTCGTTAAAGTAAGAGTTATTGAAAATATATGTAACATCATATGTAATATCATAAATAAAAAAATATATTAAAAAATAACATACCTAGAAGATGGAATTACAGGTATCACAGATGCTCCGATTGCACTACTTTTAGCTGAAGGTGGCAAAGAAGAAGGAGGCATTGCATCTACTAACAAGCACTTAACATCCTCAGCCTAATAAAAGTTTAAGAACAAATTAACTTAAATAGAACCTAGTACATATCATCATGAGAATTTTAAAACTTATACAAAACAAAAAATAGTTCAAATTATCACATAAATTATAAATTGATGATATTTTTAGTCACACAAATTGTTTATTTAGGGTTATCCTAATCATTACTTAATCATTGTAATTTTTTTGTGGATAATTTTGATGCAACTCTCTTCATTGTTATATGTTATATAATAAATATTACAATATTTCCTGAACAGAAAAAGCAAAATTTTAAAGGAAAAAAATCTTTGTTTCGGAACAAAACAAAAAAACATCACTGTCAAAACTAAACTGTCACAATGTTTGGTAAAAATATGTGAAATAATTTATCAGGAAGTAATCTTAATATTGTATCGAAAAATAGCAGGAAAAAAACTGACATTTAATTTTTTATTCCCATCTTTCCCAACTAATACAAATGCTGGAAAAGCTGCATGTTATGATGAACTAAATATAATTTTTTAAAAATCAGAAACCTGCATTACAATCTTTATTTAAAATAGCAAAAAAAAAAAAATATATATATATATATATGCAAAATTAGCTTCACATAAGACTTAATATTTTACTAGTTGCAACCAAAATTAGATATTTAGTTAAGAATAAAAAAGTACTTTTAAAAACTTAAAATAATCTGAAAGATATATAGTTTTTTTTAATAAACAGCAGTCATCAAAATAATAATATTTATCAAAATTATAATATTAATTTGTTAATGCTTAAATTTAATTATCAAAATTCATAACATTCTTATTTTCCAAATCAATTAAAATAATAAAAAAGCATAACAATATTTTTAAGAAAACTTACAGTAGTCAAGTCATATGGAGTTTGCCCTTCATGATTCTTCATGGTTGGATCAGCCCCATGAGCTAACTATAAAAATAAAAAAGGATATTTAGCATCACAAACTAAATTGCTCATATGAAATCATTTAACAATTCTGAACAAAATAAAAGGCAAAATCAGTTCGAAAAGTAGATGGGTCAATTTTTAATAGTAAATAACACAGATTTCATCTATAAGCAAGCTTTTATGGAATGTAGAAAATGTCTAAAAACAAAATATTGTGTCATTTATTTAAGAATATTATTATTACTATAAAATGTCAAAGCCAAAATTATAAATTTTTTAAGCATTTAAAAGTTCTAAAATTCAAATTCTCTAAATTTAATCTTAATATACATTTATATAAAATAAAAAAAAATTAAATAACACACATTAGCCAACACTGAAAAACAGAAAGTTGAGAAAATTATTGCAAAAACATACATAAAACTTTTTTTAGTATTGAACAATTAATTTATTACATTTTATTGATTCATTAAATTTTATTTTACAGATAGGCACACACAGTGACAGACCACCCTTTATACTCCCTCTTTAAGATATTATTTCTTAAGTACCATTGTTTAAGATAATGCTAAAGCGTGAAAAACCATTCATGACAAATTCTAAATTTACCATGAAACTAACTATGAAATTTTAAAAGCTGGAAAAAAAAATATTTCTGCCATAACTTATTGCTATTTAGAGATTTTGAAAACAGTTTTTCAGCCTCTGAAACTTCAAGGTATACATAAACTAACTCTTCTCTTAACTTTAAATTGTAAAATATCAATGGAGATGAAACAAAATTTGCTATGAAATGTTCCTCCTGCGATATAGCATTCTCTGAAGCCGCTTTTAAAGGATTAAAATATTAGAATTTTTTAAGCTCATTTAAGATTGTTTTACTTTTATTAATTTTAATATCTAAAAGAACATTTTTTTAATAATACTGTGACAAAACAAAATTTAAAAAACAATAAAAAGTGTTATTTTTAATGAAGAACTTACTAGCAAGGCACATAATTGAGTTCTGCCCTTCTGGGCAGCTTCGTGTAGAGGTGTGAAGCCCCATCTGTCAGTAGCATTGACCACAGTGTTGTATTTAATAAGAAGGGCTGCAATATCTAAATGCTAAAAAGAGAAATAAAATATGAAAAAAACTCCAAAGCACACCAAATTTACATAAATAGTATATTCATAAAGAAACATTTCTCTTGATTCAAAAAAACAAAAAAGTCTGAAATTTTTCCTCATTAATCAACAATTATGAATTTGAAGAGGTGTATTTTAAATAAAGTACTATAAAGTACGTACAAGTAAAAATAATTAGCATGACTAACACGCCTGATCAGCGATCACAAGTATATCATTGCGTTTACCAAAATGTTGGCAAAAAAAATTTGGCAAAATCTATAATATCTGAACATTTCTAATTAATTATTAATAAAAACAAGAAGTCTATTTCAAAAAAAAAATAATAAAGTTTTGAACTTGAGCATCTGGCATTATAAAATTTTTAAATCAAGCAGTTTAACAAATAAATTAAATTGCAAACTGAATCTGAGTTATCTATTATTATTATTGAGTGAATCTTCTAGTATTAAAAGAGACTTTGAAGTGACTTGAAGAGAAAGAGAAATATTAGTGACTTTCCTCCCATTACATTTGATATAATGCAAAAACATATATATTATGACAGAAGAATCTTATTAATGAAAAAGAATTTTCCATTTATTTGATTCATAAAAATTAAAATTCAGTATTCCTCTGTTGCTAATCATGTGACTCACAGAATATATATTAAAAATGTGCTTATTTTTCATTTATTTATGCCAAACAAATAAAAGTAGCTTTATTGAAATACCTTTAAATTTATTTTTAAAATACAGATAAATGATAAAATGTAATGTTTACAATACTCGAAGAACATTGTTACAATAACATCCTGACTTCACAAAGTTGGAAAAATGGGTGTCTATTTGATAAATGTTTAGTTACCTAGGGACTAAACAAATAACATTTAATTAGGTATATGTTTAGAAGGCAATAGGCGGTTTTATTCTAAATTTGTTAAAATATTTAAAGTTATTAATTAAAGTTAATATTTGTTAAATATTTAATATATTTATTACTTATTTGTTAAAATATATAAAAGCTTTAATATTCGTTTCCTGCTTATTTTTATTTTTCCGTCATTTCTGTCAAAAAAATTAAATGAGCTTAAGGGAAATATTTTTAAGCTTTTATAAAAAAAAATATAGATAAGTGATAAAATGCAGAATTTGCAATCTTTGAAAATGTTGAAGTGTTACAGTAACATCTGCACTTCGCAAAACTGGCAAGTCCATTTAACAAATCTAGGACAAGAAAAAATACATCACTTAACCCACTGGCAGTTTAGCAAATGGGCAAAATTAGGAGAATGTTTCTTTCCAAAACACAATTTCCCTATCTAATAACAAGAAAAAAACCGGTTTTCCTATGCGGGGAAGACTGCAGATTAAAATATGACTTTTTACGTGCAGACCGTCAGTGAGTTAATTAGGTCGAGATTTAAAAGGCAACAGGTTCATTTTATACTAAATTGACTTTTATTTTTTTTATAACATTAAACAGTAATACCACATTCCACACAATTAAAAGCAAAAGCTTCAATATTCATTTCATGTTTATATATTTTTAACTGTCACAATGGTGAGCAAGCAATGTGCAATTTTCAAATTACTATAACAACTTACCCCATAAGAAGAGGCATTGTGCAAAGGTATCAACCCTCCCTTGTCTTGAGCATTAACATCTGCACCATGCTCCAGGAGGAACTCCGCTACCTCTAAATTATTGTAACCAGCTATATAAAAAGTAAATAAGTATCTATCAGCAAAATAGTGAACAATAGTTTTGATATAACATCATACTAGTAAGCAAACTAATTATTTAATACTGTGTATAAAATATAGACATCAGACTACTAGAATAAAAAATATTGAAATGGCAAGGTGATGCTAATTTGCCAACATCCTTGTGAGATATTTTAGAAAATTAGCACACAAAAATACTGAAAACACCCCTGAAAAATGACTGAATTCAGTAAAAATTCTGAAAAATCACATATTTAGAAATACTAGATGTTAAGAGAAGTAATATAAAGACAGCCTGTAAAGTTTTTCCATTCAAAGAAATTATGAAATTTACTCTATTTTTCGAAGTGCAAAATTCACAGCGATAAAAAAAATTAATTCAAACCATTCAACTTTTATTTGAATAACTCAGCAGTAATAGAAAGCTCAAAATTATAATATAAGGAAATATTTATAGATCAAATGTCTCCAACAAAGATACTTTTGACCATAAATATAATCTTTTCTCTCAAAATATAATGAAACATGAAGTCGAATATTAAACTGGAATTTGAACATGGCTACATCATCATCATAAGTAATGTGTCATTGAAATTATGAAGGTTATTTGAAACTAAGCATCAAAAGGTGAACAAAGTGAGAACTTATAAAACATGCAAAAAATATACATGTGAGAGGGTCCCTGATTACCATTTCCATCTAACAAGGAGTAATAAGAATGAAACCTACATTGATTTTTTTTTCAGCAAAATTTAGTAAGATGAAAGTAAATAATTACGTCAATACGTTCTTAAAAATTCAACGAAATTTTTAAAAATACAAGCCAAAATACTTTTAAGAGTTTTTGAATGCAAATAAAAGCAAATATGCTTACCTGCAAGATGAAGGGGTGTTGAATTGCGACCTTGAGAATCTCTACAATTAATATTTTCTGGAGACACCAATTTCAACACCCTACTTAAATTGCCTTTCTTCGCTGCATCCAACAAAGCTGAATCCCCTAAAATTATTCAAATATAAGAATGAGTTTCTTTTTTTTTTTTTAAATCCTACATCTTTATTCATTTCCTTTTTTGTTAAAAAAAATCAGCCAATTACTATTGAAGAGACTGGTCCTTAATTAATGGAGGAGCTAAGTATCTAATATACTTACATAGACATAGTGTTAATAGTTTTTTTTTACAGCCCCTCAAAACAAATAAATACCAATTAAAGTAAATGCAAGAATGATTTTAAGTAAATGTGAAAAGCATGCAATTGAGAACATTTTAAATTTTGCAATAAATAATGATTTTAAGATAAATAATATTTTTTCTTATTTACATAGATGTTATCCATTTTTACCTCAGCAAATTTTGTTTATATTTTAAAATCAGTATTGAAGTTTTCTGAAAAATACATAATATCTCAGTATTTACGCTACATTTCCCCCCTGTAATTTAGATTTCTTTTTTTAAGCTTTTCATTATTGAGTCTAAAATATGAACAACTGATTGTAAACAAGTTTAACTACTGCTTAAACACTGTCTAACTCAATTTAATAATTGATATTATTTCAGAATTTGAGGAGTTAATTTTAATTTTTTCAATTGATATTATATAATTTGTTTGAAACTTCATTTGGCATCAAAATATACACTGATAAAAACTAGTCAGGTAGATTATAACAAAAAAAAATTATTAATACATCAATTTTAAAAAAGAGATATTGATTATCTGTTTTCCCCTCTAATTTTCAAGTCCATAGAGTTTTATACACAAACTGTTTAAAACAAAATTTTTTAAAAAAATGCTAAATAAATCCTTAGAAAATATGTGTAAAAAGAATAGTTTCTTATATAGAATGCTCTTACTAAATAAAAAATAATTACAAAATAAATATAAAAATATCATTACCCCTAAGTAAATCAGCAACATCTTGATCACCTTCTTTGACTAAATCTAAAGGAGTATGACTATCACGATTCTTCTTAGAAGGATCAGCACCATGCTAGAAAATAAAAATTTTAATGAGCAAACAAAATCATAAAGACAAAAAATAATTTTAAAAAAACACAAAAATATAAATGAACCACATCATATTTATGTTTCCCAGTTCAACTTTTAATGACATAAAAATTGCAGCCTTCCAAAAAAGATGATGACTATAGTATTCCTAGAACAAGTATAAATTTTGGCTAATTTATATTTTTAAAAAAAACTGATTAGAAGACTAAAATGGAAATGAGACAAAACAAAAAATTAGTCACAATGATTGAAGTAAACAATTACTATATAACCAGGCAGGCCAACTTTTAGAAAAGCCAATCTATAGCAATAATCATGATTGACACTGATAAGTAAACCATAAGGTGAAACAATATTCTATGCTCAAAGTTATCAATTTTTTAAAAATAAAATGCATATATTTTATTATTTTTTACATTTAAAAATATTAATAAATGTAGTATAAATGAAATTACTCACAAAAGTAAGACCCAGAACAAAAGTTAAAAAAATATAACGTTATTTGTAATTCGCACCATTGAATAGTTGTTGTAGTTAGTTAACGTCGCACTAGAGCTGCACGATGGGCTATTGGCGAAGGTCTGGGAAACACCCCTGAGGATGATCCGAAGACATGCCATCACAATTTTGATCCTCTACAGAGGGGATGGCACCCCCGCTTCGGTAGCCCGATGACCTGCACGCGAAGTCGAACACTTTACGATAAAACAGTTTAACAAGGACCAATACCGCACTCCCTCGGTCCCTATGCAGACTGACAAGTGGTCACCCACCCGCACACTGACAGTAGCCAGTGACGCTTGACTTCAGTGATCTGCTGGGAACTGTGTCTTACCGATCAGTCCACTACGGGTCTCGCACTATTGAAAGGTAAGCAAATAATAACTAACAGAATTTAGAATTGATTATAAAACTTGTCAATTAAGCCTCTGCCTGTCTGTATAACTGAAAATAATTAAAACTTCTAAGAAAATGGGGGAGATAGAATAGCTATATTCAAATGATATGTACATAAATAGCAAAATATTGTGAAAATTATTGCTTATGACTTTGCTTATCAATAATTACAAAATAAAAAAATAACTTGAAAATGATTCAAGGAAAAAAATTAATGCAAATATTGTTTTTTTTCTGCATACATAATATTGAAAATATTGATGAAATTCAAAGATTTAATTTAACGATCATATTTATAATTTATGAAAACTCTTTAACAAAGAGATTAGTGAAAAAAATAATACTACAAATTAATATACAACATATCTAGGCATCTTCGAAAGTAAAGAAGTTTAGTCAATCAAATTGACAGCATAATTCAGAATGAAGCATTATTATGACAATATTTCAGAAATGTTATATAAATAGATCACTTAAGTATAAATGTAAATGATAAATTACCATATTTTAGCTAGTTACGCACAAAATATAACAACTTGAAATATAGCAAACTCATCATCTGGGAAAATTAATCATGTAGCTGATTTCAGATTAAATAATAAGTTCATGTGCATAAATTTAAAGAAAGAAAGAAATATATTTTATAATAAGACAACAAACAAAGACTGCTCATTAAATATGAATGCTAGCAAACTAAGCAACTTGAGAGAATTTCAGAAAATTATAGGAAGAATACACCAAAAAGAAAAGAAAAAAAATTTCTAGAAAAACAAATGGATCATAAAGTCAATTGGTATTAAAAATCAATTTATATTGTGATTAAAAAACAACTACTGAAAAATTCAAAAAAAAATATTTAATTTAAAAGTGAAAAAAATATAGAAATCAATTTTTATATTGTCTTAAACCTTTAAAAGCAGCTTCACAATTTCGTATTTTCCTTTTGCAGCTGCTTCATGAAGAGGTGTAAACTTCCACAGATCAGCAACATTTACATTAGCACCATACTAAAACAAAACAAATAGAAAAAAAACATCAGAATTATATTAGATTATTTGGTGGTTATTTAAGCAAATTTTCTCTAAAATTGAAAAATACGGTATGGATAATTTTATTCTTAATTTAATTTACACTGAAGTAAAAAATTAACATATTTTAGTTTCTTGTATACTAAAATCACATGCATTAATATACAAAGTTAAAACTGAAAGAAAAATAAATTCTTAATCATTCACAATAATGCTAGTCAGTTACAGAATGTGTGTGTCTTCTTTTTATTTATTTAAAAATTACAGCATTACTAGCTGGAAAAAAAATATTGTTTAAAATTAAGTAAGTAGAAAAATATAATTATAAAAGTTTGGAAATTCTGCATACTCAGAAACTACACACAATTCATTCATTTAAATTAAGTACATTCAGAGGAATTTCTTTAAAAAGTCATAAAAATCAACAAAACTAACTTAAAGGAAATCTAAAGCATATTTGAATATATATATTAGTTGTGTTGACTGTATTCAATTGTTCAGTATAAAGCAAAAGCACCAGAATGAGATTATACTGTAATTTAAAGAAATGATATCTTATTCTACATAAGTCAATAAAACGTCATTGAAAACTATTATCAGAACATAAAAAGTTCGGAGAAAGGGAAAGAATACTGTAAGGAGAAAGGGAAAGTATCTTTATATTTTGAGGATCATTTATTTTAACATGAAAGAAGCCAGGCTTTGGGAACAGTTTTCTGGTTTTTTTAAAACAAAATTTAATTAATTCAATTTTAAATAAATTAAATTATCAAAATAATGACAAAATTTTAAATTTTGATAATGATCTTTTAAAGAGGATTTTCATTTTGATAACATTTTATTTAACAGATAAAAATTATTCATAATAAAATTAGTAATTGGACATTGATTAGCCTAACACTATACTGAGAAGAATTAAATGAAAACTATACCTTTACAAGTAATTCAGCAACTTCATAATGGCCATATGAACATGCATTATGCAGGGGGACTAAACCACTAAAAAAAAAAGCACACATGTTTTAAGAAAATTATAACATTAAATGATTATAATTACAAGTTAATTATAACATCTGTAAACAAAATTCATTTATTATAAAATTGTCAATTAGGAAAAAACATAATCAAACACTGATTCCTTTTCCATATAAAAAAATCACTGTGTTAAGAAATGTAGAATTGTGAAATTACTATAATAAACAAGAAGACCCTAACAATAAGTACAGAATTAAAAAATCTAGCAAAATTTATTAATTTTGCACAAGTTGGAAAAAGGAAGATTTTTTTATTTTGAAAGTAAAATTCTCTCTTACAATAAATTTAAAAAAATATTGATATTTTAAAAAACTTTTTGAATTATAAATTGAAATGAATAACTTACAGAACTAAATTTAACATTTATTATCGTGGCGAAGGTAGAGCTATTAATTTAAAATTATGTGACAATACCCTTAAAGGTACGTTTTATTCCTGTCAGGTTGGATAAATAATAATGTAACATTCGTTTGAAATATTGTATTAAGAGTTTACAATATTGTATTAAAAGTTCTAGCAATGAAGAAAATAATATAAAAGTAAAAGTAATTTTTTTTTTTAAATAGAACTGAAAAACATACCCTTTGTCTTTTGCATGCACATCAGCACCATGCTGCAAAAGGTATTCTACAACAGAAACTCTATTGTAACCAGCTGCAAAATGAAGAGGAGTAGACTGCCTGCCATCCACATCTCTACAGTTTACAACAGGTAAATGGCTAGAGAGAATTTTCTGCAAACAAAAATGGAGTCTTTAGTTTTATTTTTATTTTAAATTCAAGTGTTTAGACAATTAAAGTATTAGTATGAGGAGACGAGTGACAAAAGATCTCTGGCACTCATCTCTGTGGCATCTAAACAATAACAACTTGCCCTCAATATTTTGTTTTTTTTTTCCAAACAAGTTTATAAACTAAAAAATCTGAATATTTTTTTTTAAAAAAAAAAGACACTTTTCTTAACATGACATTCAACCAAATATCCACTGAAATTCACCTCTCTTCTTAAGAGGATGCCATACCACGGGAGAATCCTTTCATTGCAATTTCTTTATCACCTTTTAAATTAAAATTTAAAGTAAAGAAAAAGTGCTGTCAAACAAACCTAGAGTAAGCCCTAAGTGAAGATACAAATACTAAAAAGAAATTTTCAAAATATTAAAATGAAAATAAATTATGAAAAAATAACTCAGGATTATGAAATGGAGATGTTCCCCTCCAATAATTTGTTTGCATTTTGAGATTTTGAAATATTTTTCCAGCAATTGAAGCTTTACAGCTTACTCTAAGTTTGCCTGAACTCCCTTTTTCTTTCGAAAACTAAACTCAGAGGCACGACAGCCCATAGAGGGCCAAGGCCTACTGTGCCCATCTCAGTTTTCTTGACCTTGGGCTGTGGGGTGCAGGAGCAGATGTTCCGGTCAGGTGGTCCCTTTTTCTTTCATTTATATTTGAAATTAGCAATGGAAGCATAAGAGAATTTGCAACCAAAAGTTTCCCTGTGGTATGGCACTCACTGAACTCAAGTGATGTCATTGTTTACACTGAGTTTAATTTTTCAATCCTTGATAATTATTTTTATTTAAAAATGAAAGAAAAAGAAAATTTCTACAAATTATAAAAGTACTTTTACTAACCTAAAAAGAAATATACTACTGATTACTTTAGAAGTGATCGTAATTAATAAGCAGAGAAGACAAAAATAATAGTAACGAAAAATGGTATAATACAGAATACTGATGTTACACAAGCAAACTACTAAACATCACTCCAAGAAATTACTGGATGATATCAACAAAAGATTACTTCATTATAAAGATTTTAAATAGGAAGCATAAATTTAAATACTTTAAAAAGAACTATTTGCACAAAATATATGAATTGTAACTTGCATTCTTGAAATTATCAAGAGCAAATTTTGATAATAAACTTTGAACTTATTTGTAAATGTAAGAAAAATCATAGGCTAATAAAGAAATAACTTATTGAAAATAAGATAAAAATTTTAATTCATAACACTAAATTTGAAACAAATTTATAAGGCAACATAATAAAGAGCTTTTACAAAACTAGATTAAAAGTATTTACAGGCATAGGAGTAGGAAAAGAACAAGAAGTCTGAAATACATATCAACTCTAAGCATGAAAAAAGGAATATAAAAAAAATTGTGAAGTTATTTTGCACAAAAAGAAAAAACATACTTGCATACTTATTTATCTATATGAATACATTGACAGTCTAAAACACTGTTAAGCTTTATAAATAAATAAAATACTAAACCTTAGAAATATAATTTTTGTCAAAAGTTTACCAAGTCGGAAATTCCACCAAAATACTTGCACATAAGAAACTAATAAGATTTATTTAATTCAAAATTTTTTGCAATATACGAAAATAAATTTTTTACTTAAATAGCTTACTTTGACAACTTCAGTATCTCCAGCTTTAGAAGCTTCTAGCAGTTGATATTCAATATCAATGTTCACCGTTGTTGGCTCTACAAATCAAGTAACAAATTAAGTTTATTGAGGTATGAAGATGTTAAGAAAGTTCAAATAAATGTAATGCAGAATGAAAACTCTTACCACTCAATAGTTTTTGTACATTTTCACTAGCAACTTGAGCGGCTGTGTAACCTTGCAAACTAATAATTGAAGGATCAACATCATAAGAAAGCAGGATTCTACAAGCTTGTACATTTCCCTCCCTTGCACAGCGATGCAGAGCAGTTTGTCCCAGACCATCTAAGGCATTTACCTGAAATGATATTCATTTAGAAGTTTCACTATTTCAGCCTATAATTTATGCAATAATTCAACCAATATCACCAAAATATTTAACCTCTAAGATTATTAAAAAAACTATACTTAATATTTCTCAAGATCTTGCTAAAACCCGATTTATGGTTGAAAAATGGAGAAAATAGAAACAAAGAGTAAAAGGAAATTCAAACAAAAATCTTTATCAAGAGTAGAAAAAATTGTAAAAGAATCTTACAAGCATGTTACTCAGAAATAAATGCTCATAACAGTAAGATCTATTTGAAACATACCTTAGTTTGCTATTTCATTTGTTATAACAATTGTTATTTCATTAAAAAAAAATCCATTAAAGTTTTATTATAATGCATTTAATGAATATAACATTATTTGCTCCATGCTTTAATTAATACCCAGTACAATGAAATTAGATTTAATAAAAGGTTAAGATAAAACAATTAAAGGTTAAAAATAAAAAATCAGAAGACAGAGCTATGAACCAATTATGGGCTGATGTCATTAAATAACATCAATTACATAAAATGATAAATATAAATACATCAAAATATAAGAAAATATATACAGTTACAAGACATTTCATGAAAATAACATACCTTAGCCCCATGCTTAAGTAAAACGTCTAGTACATCAAAATGAGATTTATCAGCTGCGATGTGAACAGGTGTTAAAAATCTAAAAATAGTAAGAAAAATATATTTAGGAGCTGGTAACTGCAAGTAAGCTGTTTTATTGACTAATACAGGATTATACAGAGATAGGAAGAAAAAATCTAAGGAGTATTCAAGGAGTCAGCAATTTTAATGACTTAACATATAATATGCTAATGATATTTTTTATGTCTTGGGAAAAATTACAAAAAAATATTGCCCCATTGGTAGAATAAATTTTTATATAAAATTGTTATGAAGTTTTATTCCTAATTCTTATAATAATTTATTACATGCCTGAAAACACACAATTAAAAAAAAGAAAGCTGAAATATATCAGAATTTGAAATTTATGATTTTTACGCTATTCCTCTTTAAGAATTAATGATGCAGTAAACAAAAATTAATTTATTATAATCATTTGATTATTTAAAAATGAATTTCATTTCAAAATTTTAATCTATGCTATTTTACTTAAATGTACTGGACATATTGTAAGGTCTTGAGGTAAGTCAATTTTTATTAATTTTCTGATAAATTCTAAACTTTAACCATTTTTTTTTATGTTAATGGTGTTTTGGGGAGTTATTGCAATATATTTATAAATAGGTTTTAAAATCTCAATGTTATAATGCAATATTATAATGCACCATAAAAGTAGAATCACGCAATTGAGTAATTTTTGACACATTCAATTAGCAACAATTAAACCATAAATTGATGTAGTTTGTCAATCGCTATTTTGACAGATTTTTAAAATCTTATGGCTTTAATATGATAATATAATGTACCGCAAATTTAGAACCACGCTTCTGAATAATAACTTTTTAACACAATTGATTGACAAGCATTCTACCACAAATCCAACTGGCTTATCAATAGTTTTTTTAGGTAGTTACTAATATGAATTTTTACATGGTTTTTAAAATCTCTATGTTATAATACAATATTGTTTTGTCCGGTAAAAATCTAAGTCACGCACTTATAAAATAACTTGTCTACGCACTCTATTATCAACAAATTAAAGGTAAATTTATGTGGCTTCACTGATACCATTTTGAGATAGAATTTGTATTTAAATTTCATTCACAGTTATTGTAATGGTTTTTGAAATTTTGATTCCTTTTTTGATTTAATACTGCAATAATCCCCAAATTCCGCATTTGAAAAATCACTTTATGGCGCGTCCTAGTAGATATGATCCACAGAAAGACAAGAAAAAAATATGGAATTTTTTGGCACTGTGTTCACCAGACTGCCAAAATTTAGAAACTTGCGATTGCTGTCCTGATAGCGAATTTCTGGATTTTGCCTCCATGGTATCCAAATTTTTATTCATATAACAGTAGAAAACAAATAAAAAAAATAAAAAAATGGAAGCCTGATAAAATCATAAAAAGGGAAAGTTATTGGAGTATTATAACTCCTGTATTGGAAATAAAAAAACTTAGTATCACAATAATCTAAGGAGTTTCTAACTGATATGCTGTAAATCTAAGTAGCTCAGAGTACTCCTTAGAGATTTTTCTATTTCTAAGGAGTATAAGTACCCCGCGCAAAACCTGCAAATATAATTTATTCTCAGTTCAGGTTATAACTTGGTTGTCAGCTTGTGCAAAAGGCGGTTTTCCTACATTAGTTAATACAGAGACTATGCTTAAAAAAAAATAGATTAATTTGCTTAAGCAATGCAGTTGAAGGGTTAAAGACTGACCAAATAACTCAATATCAAATAATTAAAAATCAACAATTAGTAGTAAAATCAGACAAGTAAACAATAATTAAATTAGTTTTAAAAACATAAAAATGTAGCAACACACTCCAAAACCACAAATTATATTAAAAATCTGTTGTTTCAAAATGCGATAATAAAATGAAGATAACTCAAAAAGTCCCCTTTACCTACATAAAGTTATCTTACAATGATATTTATTTCAGTCACTCATTCTATTTTGAATTTAGTTTCAATCCTTTTAAAGCCAAATATTTTAAATTTCCATAAAAACAAAGTAAATTTACATACTTAAAAAAATAATACTTAAACATATATTTTATACATAAAACAAACTAACAGCTTACTCTTTATTTTTTTCATTCAAACTAGCACCTTTTCGTATTAATATTTCACAGACTTGCTTTCTTTTTGGATAAAGAGAACTCACAGCGCAATGCTAGAATAGAAAAACAATTCTCAACACATGTAAGATCCCATATCAAAGAAAAGAAAACACAAGCAAAATTTTTTTACCAGAGCAGTATCACCAGTAAAAGGGTGTTTAAAATTTATCACATCGAGACATAAGAATTTCTTTACACGTTGAGGATCAGCAAGTCTTGAAGCTTCTAACAGACAGTGGCCTTTGAACTCATCTATATATATAAAATGCATGGAAAAATGTTCAATCAAAACTTGTAAGTGTTATTATTAACTTTTCAAAAAAACTGAAAAAAATAAAATCTAGCAACTTATCAATTTGACTGGATGAAACATTGTACACAAAAATGGCTTTAAAATACAAAATTTAATTTTAAAGATCAATCCTTTAAAATTAAATTTTGTATTGTAAAAAAAAATTTTAAAGATCAATACCAGCAAACACTTAACTTTAAATAGCTACCGTAGTGTATAATTAAAACTACGCTATAAGCAATAGACTTGTAGAAAAATTTATCATGGTATATGTTATAAAACTATAAAGCGATTTAGGGAATGATTTACTGTGAAATATTTCGTCAAACTTCTTAATGTTCTACACCATACAAAAAAAATTAGCAGGAAGAACAATTATCAGACATTAAAAATATCATAGAAATATAAATGGAAGAAAAATGAATAGGGGGGAAGTTAGCAACACATGTTGAGAAAAAGATGAAGAGTAAATAGAAAACATTTTTAAAAAATATGAAAAAAGCAACAAAAATTTTTTAACCATTATTTTATTTTTCATTTTTCTGTAATATTCCTTATGCTTGATAAGGGAAGGGTTGCTCTTCTAGAAATGCTCAGCTGAATTTTTTTAAAGAAGTATTAACAAAATTTTTCAATTTTAATCCTTCAATGACAATTTATAGGTTAAATAATCATGAACGAAACATGAAGTAGATTTATCTTCCTCAACAGAGTACAACAAATTATTGTAAAACAAATTAGATAATTTAATACTAATCATTTGATACAAGAATAAGCACAGCATTAGAAATATTTTCATGCAAAAAATATCACACTAACAACATCAAACTCAACTCAGTTAAAAATGTTCATTTCATATGAAATTTCTTTTAAAGAAATATTAATATAAACATATTGCAAAAAGATAAATGAAACAAAACAACAAAATTCTAATCATATACAAGGAATAATCAAATTATTTATTAATTACTAACAAATTCCTTTCTTCAAAAAGGAACAAAAAAAATTCTAATCGTGAACTAGAAATTATCAAATTATTCATTAACTACTAGCAAATTCTCTTCTGCAAAAAAGAACAAAATTCCTACAAAAAGAAATGCTTGCAAAAGAATTTTACTATTCTTGTACAAACTAAACATATTCTTTTTCCTATGTAACTAAATGCTAGACAGTTTTCAAAAGAAAATCTAAAATTTTTGCTTGATAGTGAATCATTTATTTGACTTTTATGAAAAATCACTTCATTAGATATATTTTAAACAAACTGCCATAAATTAAGTAAATTTACAAAAATAGTACACAAAAAAGTTATTAGAAATAAAAAATAACAGGCCTATTACAAGAAGATGGAATAGATCACTTACAAGACAGTCGCTCAGGCAACTCTCTAGCTGAAGCAACATCAATTGCACTTTTAGAATGACAGTTAAGAAGGGTAGGATCAGCTCCATGACTCAAAAGTAATGAACAAACTTCAATACGAGCTTTTGAAGCAGCTTCATGCAATGGAGTGAATTGCCATAAATCCATAGCATTCACATTAGCTCCATGCTAATAAATATAAAAACATTTAAATAAACATTCTTATTAACACATGAGTAAGTGTGAGAGAAATTGTCACTAAGAATACAAAATGGTTTGTAACAATAAAAACACACAAATGTGAAATAGCTTTCGCAATTGAAAAATTCTAATGGCCAATAATTTAATGAATAACAAAAATGAAATCTTACTTTAATTAAAATTTCAGTAACTTCAAAATGTCCATATGAACAAGCATTATGTAATGGTACCAAACCACTAAAAGAGAAAGAAATACACTTTATATTTAGTATGGGCTAAAACTTGTTATTTCTGGATTATCATGTAACATGTGAAATAAAAAAAACACTAACACCTAATTTTTCATTATTATTGAGATTAGTCACAAAAAAAATCTGAAGAATACTATTCTACAGTCTACATTAAAATTTAGCCTAAGTATTTATTTAAGCTTGTTCCTATTTACAAGCTTTATTTACATTGGAACTATTTATGCAAAGAAAAAAAAGAAAAATATATACCGCTATGAAACTAAAAAAAATAGCAAAGTAATGAAAATTCAAGATTTACATGTATATCTTTATGTATATCTTATCTTCAATCTTATGTATCTTCTTTCCTTTCTTTCTCATATAATACAGAAAAGTTACAAACTAAGTAATATAACAATAAATTTATTGCATCCTATCAAATTATCTTAACTTTAGTTCATGTGTATTTAAATTTAGTTCAAGTCAATTAAATATAGTGTTTGTTGTAAAATTTGTTTAAGCAGTATTTTATATAGAATATATATTGAATATACAATTAAATATATATCATCAGCATTATATAGGCAAAACATCTTACAATGGTTTTATGAGACAACTTCCAAAACTGTAATAAAATTTAAATAAAACTAACCCTTTGTCTTTAGCGTGAACATCTGCTCCATGTTGTAACAAAAGCTGGACAATACGAATTCTATTATAACCAGCAGCAAGGTGTAAAGGTGTAGACTGTAAAAATATAAGTTTAATTAGATTTATCTTAATAATATAATGCTGTAACTTTCTGAATAAAAATTGTTTGAAGTATAAAAGTTATTCTTTAGGGCTTAGAAATGAAATTTAAGTTGTATAATGCATCAAAAAAATTCTGTTTTCATTTTATTATAGATTATTTGAACAGCATTTAAATGCTAACTATGTATAAATGTTATTTTTTTAAAAAAATTATAAATGCATACTATGCCCCAACAAAACATGAAATTTATTATTCCAGTAAAATATGCTTTTAAAAAAACATTAATTTGAAAGAGAAAAAAAACATTTCAGCCTTACAAAAAAAAAAATTGCTAAAATTATGAAATTAATAACTTAATATAAATTTAAAAGCAATAAGCTTTAAATTTATATATTAATCAAATTTCTTTCATATTTATTTTAATTTTTTAATAGTAAATAAAGTACATAAAAAATACTTAAAAAAAACACCAAAGTATTTATTACAGATGTTATTTGTTAAAATTTTACATAAAATAAATTTAAATATTATTGATTTGAAAAACTGTTCGAAATTGTGCCAAAGTTCACATCTAAGTGCCCCGTGACTTTAAAGTCCAACCCCAGACATTATAAAGCCAGAAACCAAAACACTCTAAATTTCAAAAATAAACTTATTAATTTAATAAACATAAACTGTAAAAACAAATGAACTAAGATGATAAAAAAAAATTCTTCAATTTAATCAAAAATGCCAAAATCAATGAAAATTAGGCCTTTACAATACAAATGGCTTGCAAATTATACACTGAAGGGGGGTGGGAATCCCAACACCAAGAAAAAATTATTATAGAGTAAAGAAATTTCGACAAGGTGTTTGTCTGAATAACATATTTAATTGATCAAAGATTCAAGATCATAGGTTAATGCAATTAAGAGAAAAACCATTTCAAATGTAAAATACCTGATACATTAATAACCAGTGTAACCTCCAGAATTTTTAATGCAAGCATGCATTGTGTCACACAGACATCATATGTCGAATTGTAGGATGGAGTTCCATGCCTGTTACACTCAGTAAGACAATATAGGAATAGTTAATGCTGGTTGTGTTGAAGTTGTCGTACAATGATGTCTTATATATGCGCAATTGGTGAAAGATCTGGTGATCTCGCAGGCCAATGCAACACGTCGGCATTCAGTAGAGCATGTTGGGTTACAGCAGCAGTATGAGGGTGAGCCACATCCTGTTGGAAAATACCCCCCAAATGCTACTCATGAAAATAAAACAGGTTGATGCACAAATTTGAAGTCAAGGTGAGTGGAATATCCACGAGAGTGCTTCTGCTCTCATAGGAAATTGCTCCCCAGACCATAACTCCAGGTGTAGGGCCAGTGTGTCTATGCCAGAGACAAGTCGATAGCAGGCGCTCACCTGGCCTCCTACTAACGAATATACCTTTATCACTGGCAGCAAGGCAGGACGGACTTTTATCAGAAAACACAATAGGGTGGAGATCCACTCTGTCCTCCAGTGAGCTCTGACTTGACACCACTCATATTGTAAACGTCTGTGGTTTGCAGTCAGTGGAATGCAAGCTACAGAGCATCTTGCTCAGAGCTGTACTTGAAGTAGCCGATTTATAACAGTTAGTTGTGTAACTGAAGTACTAACTGCAACTCGAATTTCTGATGCAGATGCAGTACGATAGACATGCGCTGCACACAACGGGCTTTTCTCTAAACAGTGCCTTGTGGTCGCCCAGAATCCGGTCTTCTTGAAGCAGTACCTTCCCTTGACCACTGCTGCCAACAGTCATGCACAGTGGATACATTTCTCCCCAGTCATCCTGCGATATCAAGGAAAAAAATCCACGTTCTCACAGCCCTATTATACGACGAGCTATTGATAATGGGTTCTTTGTCTTCTTAAAGGCATCTCATTCTGTCAAAATTTAACGAAATATAATGCTTATGAACTGTAGAACACGTATTTAAAGCAATCCTGGTTTGCATGTTCCCAGTAGCGCTACTAGCGCTAAAATTATGCACCTAGCGGGTAATATGAATTGACATCATCTTTTGGTTGTATAAACAAGCCTACCAAATTTAGTTTATTTGGCATAACTCCTTCTTGGTGTTGGGATTTTCCTTTCTGCCAGTGTATGATAAAAAAAAGTAATCTCTTTGTTTGCTTAAAACAATTAGGTAAAAATTATGCTTTGAATACACTTTAAAAACTAATCTCATGAATCCTAAAATATTAAAAACAAATTTCTGTAAAAAATATATATATACCTTTCTTCCATCACTTGCATGACAATTAACATTAACAGGAGTTAACAATGACATAAGTTTCTCATCATTGCCACTACGAGAACCCTCCAACAACTCATCTTTCCTATACTCTCCTGTCAAAACTGATCTTGCAGAGGGATCTGCAAGGTCTAAAGCAGTCTTACCATCAGTATTTCGTATGGAAGGATCTGCACCATGCTGAAGTAATACTAAATTTAAAAATAAAATAAACCTTTTCAATTTGGGCAATTTTACAAAGCAACTTGTATTTTTTTTAGACAAAATTTGAGTTAAAACAAAATAAATGGAAAGTTCATGCTAATTTACAGAACAAGATCATTGAATTACAAATGTTGAAAAATTACTTGTTTAAAGTGATCTAACTAAAATTTTTAGCTATTTTAGATAAATAAATTTGTTAATTCATCTATCTTTTGCATTTTAAATATTTTTGCAGTATTTTTCCCGTTAAAAAATCTTATTCTTATTTTAATTTTACTATTTTTTAACTCCACACCACAACCAACGTAAGGACTTTCAACCATGACAGATTTAAAATACAACATGCTACACACACAAGCTGGCTTAAAAAAATTTATTGATATAACAAATTTTATTCATAAAAATGTCACTTTATTAAAAAAAAATCTTATTCTTATTTTAATTTTACTATTTTTTAAATCCACACCACAACTGACAAGAGGACTTTCAACCATGACAGATTTAAAATGCACCTTGCAGCACATACACTCTCGTTTTGTTCGCCACCAGGATGAAATTCACTATCCCCAACTAGCAGTGTGAGTGACAGCTGAACGACTACCTGATTGCAATTTTCGAATTCATTAGTTCCTAAGCATTTTTCATACTTTTTCAAATCAATATCTTATGTTGACCAGCATTTCTCGTCTCTCTGTCTCAATTCTTTGTAAAGAATGGTCACAAAAAAATGAGCGATCAAGGTTTTACTGTACAATTAGCTACACTTTAACTACTGATTTTTTAAGAAAAATAGATAATGTAATTACATTTATACTTAAATATAAAATTCAAAAAAATAACTTCAGAAAAAATGTTTTCATTCATATTAAAAAATTTATCAATAATTGATTTTGTAAATTAAAGAAATTTCAATGATGAATAACAATTTCTCTTAAATTTTAGAAACTGCAAATGTGAAAGATTGTTAGAAGGTAAACTGTGTTTTTGGAGGTTTTTACGTTTAACACAGAAAAAGATACTAGAGTTTCATACTGTAATTCATAATCAGAATTATTAAAATGCGACATTTATTACATTATTAAAACGTGACATTATTTTTCACTTATTTTGAACTACATTAACACAAAATAATAATAAATAAATTTAAAAGAAATTATGAAAAATATATTTATTAAAAATTATTGAGCTAAAGAATAATCATGTCATAGTTAACTGGCATAAAAATTAAATTCTATGCAGCTCTTGAAAGATAACTTTTTTTTCTGCAACCATCTTTAACAAAAAAAAATTCTTAAGTGATAAATTTATCATTAGCCCTACAAAAGGAATTTACCAACAATAATACTATGTCAATACTTATATAACTAAGTATTATTAAACACTTATACTAAGAACCATACATTAAAGAAATTTACCAATGCAAACATCCGTTTTTCCTTTGATGGCTGCTTCATGCAGTGGAGTATAATTCCAATTGTCTCTTGCATTAGGGTCTGCACCATGTTTCAGTAAAAGCTGCACAACTTCAGCATGACCAAAAGAGCATGCATTATGGAGAGGTATCAATCCTCCATCATCTCTAGCATGGACATTAGCTCCATTCTGAAGTAGATGTTCTACCACATCTCGACGTCCAAATCCTAATAAAAATTAAAATCTTAATGAACTTAAAGTTGCTACATTTTTTTATACAAGGAAGAATTATATTAAGAATTCCAATATAGGAAAAAACCAGAGGCATATTTTTAACTTTATAGACTACAGAAACAAAATTTTAAAAAAATGAAAAAAATCTGATTCAGGATATACGGTACAGAGCCCGTTATCCGGAAATCAGAAAACCAAAAAACCAGAACAAAATTCAATACATTTCCCTGCCATTTTTTAAAAAAAAAAAATTTTTTTCCTCCTAAGATTTTAGGATTTTTCTTTCTTTTTTGATCTGGTAGGTAAGGTAAACATTCTGAAAGATTTTTACCTTACCATCATTTTCGAAATAATCATTACTGTATCACTCCATCATTTTTCTTCTTTTTAAGGTTATTTCCAAAAAAAAATTTTTTTTTTTAGTTGGGTTTAATAATGAAAAAAAAAAAACGGTTTTTTGCAGCGATTCAGAAAACCGGAAAAATCAGTTATCTGGAATAGCGATGGTCCCAATCGTTCCGGATAATCGGTTCCCTACTGTATATAGAATTATTGAGGATATAAGCGTTTTTAAACTTTTAACATATTTCTTATATTAAAACATTAAAAGCAGAAGAAAAAAAATAATTCTACAGATCTAGAAAATAATTCAAATAACACTTTAAATGATGGAAATCATTATCTAAATTAAAAAATTATTCAATCGAATAACACTAAACTCATATTCAACTCTTTAAAATCTTTTTAACTCATGTCTACAGTTAAGTCAATATAATGAAGAACAGATTTAAAACAGATTTAAATATTACAAATGATAACATAATTAATGATCATTAAAACAGATTCTACTTGGTAATAAGCATGATAAATAATTTGCATTTAACATGTTAACTGAGAGCATTTTTTTTAACTTGAACCTTTATGCTACACTTTAAAGAATAGAGAACTCAAAACATAGCCTTTTAACTAGTCAGTTACTATCTAATAATTTTACATTATTTTCTGCATGATCACCTCAAAGCGTGAATTGTATCCATTCAGACCATCCCCTAAACAGAATTAAGATAGTTTGGGTTCAACCTTTAATTGAAAAATGAAACCTTAACTTTGTTTGGATTGCAATGATACTGAAATACAGAGTCTGACTAATTTTATAATTACAATAATAATCAAAGTAATCAAATTAGGTTTAGTTAAAAGTTCTAATTAAGAGAAAAATCAATTCTTTAATATAAAAAAATTGACCTATATAAGCTTAAACATTAAATTCAAAAAAATTGTTATACAATAGCATATAAATTATCTCAAGATTAGTTTTACCCAGACTCGGATATTATTTAAAACTAAGCAAAGAGCTTCAAATTTTAAGTAGCATATTTCTGCCAAAATGATGCTAGGCATCGAGACCTAGCAATATTAAAGTTTAGAACATAATGAATCAGATATAAAGTAATAAAACATGCACAAACTAAACAAATTACAATTTTATGTCAAAATTGTACATATGCACACACTAACTAGCAACATATTATTAAAAACAACCTCTGACAATAATTTTTGTTTCAATAATAGTGAGATACAGGAACTATAGCTCTGAATTTAAAGAATTAGTTTATCAAATTTTTATTATATGACTTTGCAAAACTTACCAGCAGCAAAGTGCAATGGTGTTGACTTCCGTCCCGCAGCATCTCTAGCGTTAACATTTTGTGGAGTAACAAGCTTTCTTACTCTTGAAACATCACCATATCGACAAGCATCAAATAATTCTCTACCGTTATCACAAATATGGGAATTGTCACTTGAAGTTTGCATACATGAACGTCTGGTAGCCATCACCCATTATTGTTGTCAAACACCATTAAAATCAACAACAAAACAAAAACTTCCACTTTCCGTCCATTTCCAAAAGTGATTTAATAACAATGAGTAGAGAATCAACATTTTGATCTATCTTTTCATAGTTTAAAATTTCTCCACCAGTCTGAAAAATTTATTTTCATAATGCAACTTTGAATGAAGTTTAACTGAATGTAACCATTTTTCTAAATTTTAAGCAACGTTATTAAATTTTAAAACGCTTCAATGTTTAATGAAATTTTAAAACTTTTTAACTTTTTTATTACAGTTAATACTTTGCTGATTATGTAACCGGCCTTTTTCTTCCTCTGAGCTCCAAGGAAAAACGTGCGCAGTGATCGGAGATTGCATCAGCTTCTATTTAATCTCTATATTATCCTTCTCTTTGTACATTAATTTGTGTTTGTGCTCAAATTGCTGTTTTTTTATTAGATTCTCTAAAATATTCCAAATATATTAAAATGTTGAAAGTTTTACGAAGCTCAAGGTCATCATATTTAAAACCTTGTCTGCAGAACTTTTGCGGCTCAAGGAGTGTTGCTTCTCAAATACATAGTAAAGTTAGTATATTTTTAATATTTGAATTATTTTTTATTTAAAAATTATTATTAATTATTTAAATTTGCCTTATTTTTTGAGGATTAAGTTAGCTCCTGCATTTTGTAGTTGATATAGGTGTTATGTAACAGTACTGCGCAAATTAACATTAATTATCTCTTATCGGCAATTAAAGTTCTTAGGAATGTATATTATCGATAAAAGAAAATTAAACACATCTGTCTATGAGAATTCCGATTACTAAGTTTCTGGTTTTTAGAAATAGTACAAAGATTATGCATTGAATATGGAGTTCATCGAAGAACATTTTGATACCGGCATTGACTAACTTAATGCCTTTAATTTTGCCCAATTTAATTATAGTATTAGTAAGTTATATGTTTAGCTTAATAACTTTAAAAATCTAAAGCAAATTGTCGAAATTTTTAGTGCTTATATTTATTTTTGATGTATGTTCATCATTGCATCAGCAATTTTTATGTACGTCATTGCATCAGTTACTTTACTAATGTTATAATCCACATAAATTATTGCAAGTAATTAGATATATTTAATGTACTGAGAGTTGATCGCTATATTTTGTAGCTGTTTTATAAGTGCTCTGCAATATCTTTCTGCAATGCCCTCAATTTTATTCATTTATTAATTAATGATGTTTTACCAAATTACCTTTGCAAAGGATCTATAGTAGGTACTGCAGAAGATCTCAATTTCTTTATATTAATTATTTCCCTTAAACTTTTCTCAAATTTTAATATACTTGGTTATTGGTCTGTAATTAAATTTGGACCATTAAAAATTTTATATTGATGTCCCTGTCTTAGCAAAACACTACTGCCTAAGTCAGTTTTAATATAGTATAACTATCTCGAAATTGTTTTCTTTACTGAATTTTAAGATAAAATAAATATATATATGTAATTTGTACAACATTCATTCCAGACCTTGAAGGGTAGGGCACTAGTTATACTGAAGAGGGTACTGTTCATAAATATTTGCATATGTTTAAGATATTAAAATATACGAAGCTCTTAAATGTTATCATTTTTTAAGATAATTAATTTTATAGTTGGCATTCTCAAATGTTGAAAATATTGCGTCATAATAATATCTTATTAAAAATATTCAGGTTTAAAAACTATGTTGAAATGAATAAAAAATACACCAAGTAAATGTAGTAATTGCTTTGCCGAAAAAGCAACACAAATTAATATGGACTCGTTTGAATCGTCGCAAAGCAAATGCATGAAAAAGTGATTATTATAATATGCAAATCACTAGCCATAATGTTGTATTAATTACATCATAGTCTGAAAATAACCCCTGAGGAAATAATTAAGTGAAGACAAACAGCTCCTGAAATAACTATCCATAATAAATTCAGCTTGTCAAAGACTGGCTCCTTAAATCAAAAAACTTGCTTGTCATAATAACATTGTATAGAGATTATCAGATCAAGGAAAAACTTGTGAAAATAGCCAGAAACAACATGGATTTATGACAGATCCGTCATGAGTAGTATGCTTTACCTAATGCCTCAAATTCACAATTTGAACATCATATTAAATCGAAATATAAAGACCATATGCGAAAGGCTATAAAAGTTATAATACCTGCTGCAGAGACTATTATGTTGTCCGGGAAAATCATGCCGATACATTATCTAGTATTATAGAATCAACGAACTTTCCAAATCACCCAATATCGTCCGAATAAAGGAAACATCAATAGAATTGACACAAATCAAACATCATAATATTGTATTGAAAATATCTGTTTTTGAAAAATCATGTGAAAGGAGTCTATAAAATTATAAATAACCACGGAAAAACCTATCATAAGATGGCGAGAAATTCTGATTGATTGTTGCAAATCAAATAGTGCTAACTCAAATTTGACTTTCAAACATTCTATTAAACATATCAGCGTATCAAAAACCCTTTTAAAAAATTATTAATAACTTCCAAAAAGCCATTGAATGGTGTGAAATTGCGATAGAATTATCACAAGTAATAAGTTCAAAATCCGCATGTGATAACATTATATAAAAAATATTAAATTTGAAAAGCCATGGGAAAAAAGCAACAAAAAAAAATAATAGCTTTGAAAACATTATCATCAAACGGGATAGAATCTGAAAAATTAAACAGTGATTACTCAGAGTTGAAAATCATATAGCATACCTGCCAACTTTCACTCCTTCCGAGAATGGATTTTCAGACTGGTTGTAAAACAATAACCGAAAATCAATCTGATTCAAAAATGTATTTATATTTTGATCCCATTGAAATTTGCTTGCGTAAAGATTATTATGCTTTCATATATTTATTGTAATTATTTATATGTAGTGGTGGTCAGACTCANCTATTGAGGCCTTTTTTTTTTTATATATGCTAGTGCTTGTAATCATGTTCATAAGATTTATGTATTTTTCTATCTAAATTTTGTACAAATGTTCTTTTGTTTTTTTAGACTTTACTTCCACTTCAATCCAAATATGGAATGCAAAGAAGATATAAGTAAGTTAACTTGTAAATTGATGTATACTGCATGAAATATAGATTTTAATTTCCAGCTCAGATTCCAAGTGGGAAGTTGTCCAAGTGTTCTTTTTACAGGGTATGAGCACACTTGGGGAGTCATTAAAATTCTTGGATACTCCCAGTTTTGGCTATTAGAGCCCTAACTCCTGCCGTGCAATTTGGATATTCCACATCATGATTTGTGTCATGTGATTTTAAAATGTTGCTTTATGATCTATATTCTTGTGATTTAAAAATTACACATCACTATTTGCATTGTTGCGTTAAACAATCAAATCACATATTGTCATTCACATTCATGCGATCTAGAAAATCCCTTAAACGGGATCCATAGTTGTTAACTTTCAAAATTGCAAACTTCATTTGTGTGATTTAAGAAATTTCACATCGTAATCTGTATTAGAATTGTTTAGAATTTACACACTGTGATCGGGGTTTGTTTGTTTGTTTATTTTTTAATCACTCATTGTAATTTGTTACATAAATAATTTATTATATTCTATATGTGAACTTAAATATTTAAAACATTAAAATTTTTGCTGAAACTAATTTTTGACTATGCTGGTTTTGGTTTAAAAAAATAAAAATTCTGTTTAAGTTTGTTTAAATTGGCTAAAACTTTATCATACAAATTACTCTGAAATTAAAATTATATTGATTAATTTCATGAGATCACCAAAATTAAAATTATTTTAGGTACTCTAAATATAGACCAAAACTAGTTTTCATTATTATTCAACATTTTAATATATTTTGACATTTTATCCAGATCCTTCAGAATCTTATAAAAACTTTAAACAAAAATTTTGATAACCTTTGAGTGTGTTTGATATTTACTGGAAACAAGAGTTCTCAAATGAAAGAAAATATGAAATAAGATTGAATTTCGGTTAGGGTGTTCTTAGTAAATTCAAATATATATATATTCTAACTCCTATTTCATTTTGTGTTTTTTGTCCATCGTAGTAGACTTTTGTTAATTGTGTAAAGCCAGTATAGAAATTTTGTCCATCTTAATAGACTTTTTGGGACAGCTGTATTAAGGAATTATTTTAGAGGTATTAAATTATGAGTATTTTAATTCTAGATCTACAATTCATCTTTATATATCTAAATTTCATAGTAACTACTGTATGCAGTGTATGCCTTGCATTCTAAATTGATAGATGAGATTAATGTATTCTAAATAAATTTGTTAACTCTGACTAAATGAGTAACAACATATTTGGGAAGTTCTCTTTCAAGATAAATATCAATTTATTAGTTTTTCTTTTGAATAAAGAAACAGCAAAAACCTAAGTTTTAAATATTTACAAAATACTTTCTACTGCTTTCATTGTCAAGACAAGTTAACCAGATTTAAAGGCTTGAAATTGCTTGCATATATATGTATTCAAGTAATTTTTTTTCTCCATTAAACATTAAATAATGGTATTCTTTCAGATCTGATACTGTTAAAGGGCATGTTATTGGCATTGATTTGGGAACCACCAATTCCTGTGTTGCCGTTATGGAAGGTAAAACACCCAAAGTAATTGAAAATGCTGAGGGTTCTAGAACTACTCCTTCTGTTGTTGCATTCACTGCTGATGGTGAGCGTTTAGTAGGAATGCCTGCAAAAAGGCAAGCAGTGACAAATGCTGCAAATACGCTTTCAGCTACAAAACGTTTGATTGGACGAAAGTTTGAGGATGCTGAAGTACAAAAAGATATGTAAGTGTTTTTACTTTTACATACCTAGTTTTACTTCTTACTTTTTAATCTCTTTAATTAAGAGCCTTAATTGACTAATTTAAAGTTTTTAATGGTCTAAAACGGGTTGCTTGAAAATTCTTTGCTTGTTTAAGTTTAATTTTAGGGTGGTCTTCATTTTTTAAATAAATTTGAAATCTAAATGTTATATGCGATCAAACTTTCCTTTTTTTTTTTTTTCTTTTTTTTTTAATGCATTTAATCTTAAAAATCCAATTGAAGAATTTTTATTATTGTTATCTTAATTTCAATGTTAGCCTTAAATTTGATAATTAGTTACTGCAGACGATATTTTAAATTACAAAAGCTGGCTCAAGAATGTAGTTTCTCTAAATAAGTTTTAACAAAAATCTTCTGTACATTTGAATTTTAACCCACAAATTATGAGGGGTAACACAATCTTCAAAGTATAGTCATAGTCCCAATAATTAAAGCAGGAAAAAAGTTTAAAATTAGGAACTATTGCTTTGCATATTTAACCAGATTTCTGGAACATTTTGAGTGAATCAAATGTTTTTACGCATCATTATAGATTCATTTTTCCGAATATAATTTTAAAATTTTGTATTTGAAATATTGTTTTTAGAAAAGAAGAAAAAAAAGTTTAGTGCTTATTTAAAAATATTGCATTTAATTATAGGCATTGTATTAACTGTCAATAAATGTTTTCTGCATTGAATAAAAATTACTTCTTTAGTTACCTTTTATCTGTCTTAAATAGCAGTAACATGAAATTACAAATATCTTATCTACCATATATCCTTTATGTTTTTACCTCAGTTTTCTCTTATTATTTTGTCTAGTTTATTCTTGGCATGATTTTTTCTGTTATTTTTAACTTTAGTAGCAAGTAAGTGTTTAATAATAGTATAGATAAGATAGGAATGAAAAATTAGCAATGGAATTTATGTAAAAAAAAAAAAAAAAAATCGCAATTTGTCAGAAAAATTAACAGCATCATAGTTTGTTTTGTTTTTTTTCCCCCTCTGAACACTACTATTGTAATGAAGTCAGTTTTCTATTTATCTGAATAGGAAATAAATATTTGTCATGATTACTTTAATATTTCTGCAATGGAAATTGGAGCACTGTGCTGAGTTCTATATATTAAGCTTTGCTAAATTGTTTTTACTTTATATTCACTGCACATTTATTTTTTAATTTTTCTTCACCCCAACTTTTATTTATTTCTTACGTTTATGTGCTTTATTTATGTTAATAATTTTTCTTTTTACCTAGGAAAACAGCAGCTTTTAAAATAGTTAAGGCGACTAGTGGTGATGCTTGGTTAGAAGCTAGGGGTAAAATGTATTCTCCCAGTCAAATTGGTGCTTTTGTTCTAATGAAAATGAAAGAAACGGCAGGTATGAAAAAAAATTCCTCCTTGAAAATGGTGTCAATAGCACAAATACTAACTTTTCTTAACTTAAAGGATTCTGATTTTATTTTAATACTGCCTGCTAAAATTCTGAAAATTGTGCATGTGTCCCTGTTTATTATTAAATCGAAAAGGCTTAAGAAATTAACATAATTTTTTCATTTTTAAGGTCAGTATCTATTTTAAAATATTAAGTCTTTTGTTTGAAGACTTCCTTATTTTAGTTGCTAGATTAAAAACTAAATAATTTTTTGGGTAAATTGTTTTGTGTTGCCCTATTTGTTAACCATAGTTCTTGTTTTAAAATGTTAGCAACGAGACTGCATACATATCTGCTGTAAATTTTAAAACATAAGTTTTGCATTTCTTGGAAATAATTAAATGTAGACATATCTGTGTGAGGGTGGGTATCCTCAGTCAAGGACATCCTGAATTTTTGCTGTACTTTAACCTTTATGTTTATCATCTAATAATAAAACTATAGAACCATTTTTTTTTTTTTATACATATTGTTAAACACATTTTAATAACTGTTTTGTTGAATAAGGAATGGAAATTAAAAGTGTGTAAAATCTTACTGAATTATTTAATTTTATAGTGAATCTTTTGCATTTTAAAGCATGGGGATTGACATTGAATATTTTGTGCAATTTGTTATTTTTTAATTTTTATGATAGTTAATTAAAATCAAACTTTTGAAATACTATGATAACTATTTTTCGTCACATGAATGTTGATGTGAAAAATAAGTCTGACAATTTAACTATAGTGTTATGGTTTTTCTTAGTTGTTATTTGCTTCATTAAGGTTTATAAGTATTTTTAATTCTAATTATCTTTTTGTGTGGTGGTTTGGCATTATTCCTTAACAAATTTTTTTTGATTATGCAAAGTCTTTGAAGATTATGTTGCATTTTGTTAATATATATTTATATATGAACTTTAAACAACAGAAAGAAAAGTAATTTTATTAGTGTGCATATCCTAATTATATTTTTAAAAAGAAAAAAAAATACTTAATATTTTTTACGAGCTTGAAAAGTGTTTAAAAAGTGCTTATTTTAAGTGAAAAATTTCGGTACGCACCCTGTATAAAAACGAAGGTACATTTGCTGAAGTTCTTTTGACATGTGTCAAATGACCTGCTTATTTGTAGTGTTTGGAATCTGGTGGGACCAAGTAAAACTTAGACAAACCGGAAATTTGGACAGTCTGTATATTTTTAATGGAACTTTTTTGACCTTTTTGAACCTATTCCCATCTTAAGAGTACTTTGACAGGTTCAAAATTTTATGTATAGTGATGCAAAACATACTTTCATTGGTTTGTTATTGTGAAGATATTAACTAGTATGCCTTAAATATTATAGGATCAACTTATTTTTAGCACATTATTGTTTTTTATAGTATCTTTCATTAAGTTTAAAGAAACTTTATGTTGGGTTGCAAATTCTTATGTTATAAGTATTTGTATATATTTAATGAAAAGTTAGTAAAATCAACCTGTATTAGTCCCTGAAGTTTGTTCGTTTACTAGTTTTAGCCTTACATTGTTTGCTTAACTTGACTTTGTAGATATTTTATAAATGTTTAGTAAAAGTGTTAAAACTGACTTCATGGCTTTTCTTTCTTTCTTTTTTCTTCTAATTTTAGTTTATTTTGTTTATTTTTAGACAGTTATTTGGGTTCATCTGTAAAGAATGCTGTAATCACTGTGCCAGCCTATTTCAATGACTCTCAAAGACAGGTATGATTGCTGCAGCAATTCATGTTTCCTTATTCTTTAAAAACCTATATGTTTAAGTATTTATATAATGTGTGTATTCATTATTTATGTAGGCAACAAAAGATGCTGGACAAATTGCTGGTCTTAATGTTTTAAGAGTCATAAATGAACCTACTGCTGCAGCTTTAGCATATGGTATTGACAAAACAGACAAAATGTGAGTAAAAATTTTATTAAAATGATAATGTTGTGAGTTCTTTTTACCCCCCTGCTTTATACATTTAATGTTTAAGTTAATGGGTTGATGATAAATGAGGCATATGTGTAGCAAAAAGAAATTTTTTTACGATTGATTTCTAGGCTCTTTGTGCCTATAAAAAGAACTTATAAAAATCACCTTCAGACTATTTTACCCCTAGTATAAGTAAATTTATAAAAAAAATTTGATTCATAAGGTATAAAAATATTTTACCTACTTTTTCACTTCCAATCTATTAATTTTGTAAATACTAACTTTGCATTTTTTTACTTTTTTTTATTAGAATTGCTGTATATGATTTGGGTGGAGGTACATTTGATATTTCAGTATTAGAAATACAAAAGGGTGTTTTTGAAGTCAAATCAACCAATGGTGATACTTTCTTGGGTGGTGAAGATTTTGATAATGCTCTAGTCAGTTATTTAGCTAAAGAATTTAAAAAAGACGTAAGTTTTAAATACACTTCTTTATGATTTAGTTAAATATATGTATACATATTTATTTATATTTTTATTGATATTTCCAGCAAGGAGTAGATTTGTCTAAGGATGTTATGTCTATGCAAAGGTTAAAAGAAGCTGCAGAAAAAGCTAAAATAGAATTGTCATCATCTGTTCAGGTATATATATTTATTTTATCCAATTTTTCTCAGTAACACACATTGGTGATATTAGAAGCTGGTGTTTTTGTAAATACAATTATTTTTGTAAACTGTGCCTGTTCATTCTTCCTGATTTTAGTTTTTCTATCTTCTTCTCGAAAGATTAAATCTTTCCCAGATAGTTTGTCAATCTAATGTCAGCTTTCCCTCTTGTTTACACTTTTAAAAATACTTTTTTTGCATTTTAGATCTAATTAAAGGTTTTGCAATCAAAAATTTAAAAATTAATAGCAGAATTGATTTTAATGAAAATATCTAATCACCTTAAAATATATATTGTAATGCAAAGTACATGTAAAATATTAAAGTTATCAATGAACAATCATTTAAATACAAATCTGAACAGTCATTAGTCTTCCAACTTTCCTCTTCTTCCATATTATCATTAGAAATGAACAGATACAAATAGCTAAGAAAGAGAAAACTCAACTCTTTAACTCAAAATATTTAATTTTATTTAACTGACTTATTCTTAACCAAACACAGCTTACAAATATATATATATATATCCAGTTGCCTTCTAATGTGACAAATATTGTAATATTTGTGAGTCTTAAAATATGAAATCTTTATGTATAATATTTAAACTAAATTACATATCTGTTATAAATTATTTCAAACTTCTTTTTTTTTCCAGTTTAATATTGTAAAATTACTTTTTGTTTAAATTCTTGCATTTTATCATTTCAGACTGATATAAATCTACCATATTTAACTGTTGATGCCAGTGGTCCAAAGCATATGAACATGAAGTTGACAAGAGCAAAGTTTGAAAGTTTAGTTAATGATCTCATTAAAAGAACAGTTGAACCTTGTAAAAAAGCTATCACTGATGCAGATGTGAAAAAAACTGATATCCAAGAAGTTATTTTAGTTGGTGGCATGACTAGGATGCCAAAGGTTATTATTATTTGATATTTTAATATTTTTATTGATAGTTTTTAAGTCTTTCTCTGAGATCTTTATTTTAATTTCAGGTTCAAGAAATGGTTCAAGAGATATTTGGTAAAGTCCCTAGTAAATCTGTAAATCCTGATGAAGCTGTTGCTGTAGGTGCTGCTATTCAGGTGAAGTTTAAAATTTAAGTTTTACTGTATTGTAATTTTAAACAACTTGGTTGTAACAAAAAGATTGTAATTGCACTGATTTTTTTAACTGGTAAATTTTATTTGTTGGTAGACAGGATTTCACATGATTTACTCACACAGGAAATGATGTGCACATCTTTTATCGACAGTGGCTTGTTCTCCAATTGCTATTTTTTTTCTAGCACAAAATATATCTTTCAAAATTTTAGCTTTCAAACATACAAATTATAACTGGCAGAATATATAATTTGCAGAATTCAACTGCACTGAAATTTTGTATGCATTGCTATTTTTCTGTGGGTTAATTTGGTTAACCTTTTGCAACTAACTGTTGGTTTTTGTTTGCTTATGAAACATGCTTTTCGTTACTAAATATTTTAATATTTTTAATTACCTCTCTAAAACAAAGTTAAGAAAACTTTAGCATCTGTCACAGATTGAATTATGTTGGGTGCAGAACTATTAGCTTTATTTTTCTTACGAGAATAACTGAAAATATTTTAATGGTAATTGTGATTTTTTTTCTTTTCATTCCTATAGGTATATATGCATGATTTATTTTTGACGAATGGAACAGAATATTAATCTTGTAATAAATTTAACATCATTCTCCTTTTGAGAATTGCTTACTTATAGTTACATTATAATAGCTTTTTTTTTCCTTGTGATCATTGGTCTAAGGCAATTACGATTAGTTTGAATTTAATGATAAAACATTGCTCACATTGCAATAAGGCATCTTGTGATTGTCGTTATTAAGATTTGAAAAACAATAGCAACAGTTCAGGTGGTTTGATTAATGTGTAATGGACTAAATGCATAATTTATGAAGAGACGGGGTTTTTTTTTTTTTAAAGTTGGCCTATAAAAATGTTATTTATTTTTTAGCTTATTTTATTGCATGTTCCCAATAATTAACTCATACCCCTTGCATAAACATGAAGCCTGGTCTACTAAATATTAAAATAAACATTTTATTTTCAGGGAGGTGTACTCGCTGGCGATGTCACAGATGTTTTACTCTTGGATGTAACACCCTTATCCTTAGGTATTGAAACACTAGGTGGTGTGTTCACTAAGCTCATCACAAAAAATACTACTATTCCAACTAAAAAGAGTCAGGTAATAAACATTTGGGAATAACCATTCTTATACCCTTATTCTTTATTTGAATTTCATATCAGGCTGTGATTTAATTCTTAGGATATTAATTTTTTAACCCTAAATGCATTTTATAGTTTTTACATTGGGCATCGGAAAGTATTTTGACTCCCTCTGCATTCTGTCCAGTCTCTTTATAATCTCTCACCTTTTATTTATTTTTTCAGGTATTTTCTACTGCAGCTGATGGTCAAACTCAAGTTGAAATCAAAGTATTCCAAGGAGAACGAGAGATGGCTCTTGATAATAAACTATTGGGACAATTTTCTTTGGTAAGATAAACTTGTGAGATATACTAGAGGCCACTTGCTTTAAAAACACGCAAGTCTTAAGACCTGAGTCTGTGCATTATGTAAATTATTACACCTATTACAGACTTGTCTGGTTTTAAAAGCAATATAGTTCAGAAATATTAATTATTTAGATGCATTTTTAAATTTAACACAAACACACAATAAAGCCCGAATGTAGGGAAATGAGACAGTTATACAGGAAAAATTTGGTTCAATAATTTCAAAATCTCAACTTTTTGAAAGATGGTTGAAATAACATTTTTTCATTATTATTTCAGGTGAACTATTTTCTATTGATACCATTTTTTATAAAATCTGCAAAGTCACGTGACTAAATTATTAAATGCACAGCAAAGTGCAGGTAAAAATTTAAGACCCATTCTTACATTTACATCCTCAAAATTAACATGGTTTATGGATAATTGCAGTATATTGGTCTTCTGTTGTATCATCATTTTAGGGAACAAATATTGAAGTTTTTTCTGTTTAAATTCATAACATATATTAATATTATATATATATTAATTTCAATTTATATCAAATTATTAAAATTAACAAAGCTTTTTTAAGTATGCTCTGGTCATTTTTTGGAATTTGGTTTTGAAATAATGGCACCCTCTTTCTGGATTTACCTTTAAATAATACATGATATACACATCTATACATGCTCTGGTAATCTTTCATACAATTTAACAGCTTTTGTGTCATTAATTCCAATATGATTTTCAATTTCACAAATTAAATATCTTATGTGACTTGCTAAGTTTGTTAGCTGCAGTTTTCTATTTGTTTGATTTTATATATTGCATTGGTAAAATAGTTCTGTAACTACCAATATAAACTGATATTGTGTACAAAACTAAATTAATGAAAATGAATAGAGGATCATTATTATATTTCACTAGAGGCTATTTTGAAATTCTTAATTACCCAAGCTCACTTTCCCCCCTCCATTATTTGTGCTCTAACTCATATTTTATGTATAATTTTGTTTTTATAATTGACTCTGTCTTAATATTGTTTTGAGTACTGCTGACCTTTATTGCTGCTTGAAATATTTTTAAATATGTTGAACCTTGGCCTTCGAATTTATACTTTTTGGGAGCTCAGCAGAACTTCTTGATTAATATTGTCAATTGAAGCCTTGAAAAACTCCTAAATTAACTGTATTGCTGACAAAAATCTTATTCTATGTAATAGGATATTAGCACTTACTTACATCCATCAACTCAATAATTATATAAAACAATATACTTCTAAATGTTGTGAAATTACATTTATGCAGGATGACTATTTGTCATCAACTTAAATATTATGTGAAAAAATATTAAGTATTTCTTTCCCGATTTTAATTTCTTTCTTTTTTTCCCCTGGTGTTGAGGAGTTTTTCTTGATAATTGTCATCTGAAGCCTAAAAGATCTTAAAAAATTTTATATGACTCTCAAATCTTATCATATGTGAAAATTCTTTATTACAATAAATATGTATTCATCACATTCTCAGGTGGTAGATAGAATTTTGCATATGTTACTATTTTTTCTTAATTTCAATGGAGTTTGCAGAACTTCTTGATTATTGTCATTTGAAGCCTTGAAAATCTCCAAAATTAATTTGTACAGTTGTCAAATCTTATTCTTCAAGAAAAAGATGTCAGCCGTTACTTACATTTCCTGTCAAATTTGAGTTTGTTAATATTTTAATTTACAATAGAACGGAAATGTCCATTTTTCATCACATGAAGGGTTTTCTGGAATTAACTGTCTGAGCATATTTTTTCTTTTAGAATTTCTTTTCTTGTCCCTTGAATTCAGCTGAACTTATTGATTACTATTGTCATCTGAAGATTTAAGAAAAATCTCTTGATTTAAATGTTCCGATAAAAATTATATTAATTAAAATATAATTCCTGTTAATAAAATGGAGCTTTGCAGAACTTCTGGACAATTATTGTCATTTGAAGCCTTGAAAAACTCCTAAATTAATTGTAGTGCTGTGAAAAATCTTATTCTATGTAAAAAGATATCAGCACTTACAAACATTTCTCATCAAGTTTGAGTTTCCTGATTGCCATTGGAAGATTTAAGAAAAATCCCTTGAATTAATTGTATTGTTAGAAATTATATTAATGAAAGTGTAATTCCTGTTCATAGAATGGAGCTTAGCAGAACTTCTGAACAAATATTGTCAATTGAAGACTTGAAAAACTCCTAAATTAATTGTACTCCTGTCAAAAATCTTATGTAAAAAGATGTCAGCGCTTACTTACATTTTCCTTTAAATTGAGATTTTTCTCCTGTTAATGAAAATAATGATGCTCAAATGTTATAAAATTACAGTTATGCAATGCAGGAATGGTCATTTTTTTCTTCTCTCATAATAAATATCTTGGCATCGTCAAAATTTTTATCATTATTTTTTTTCCTTGATACAATTTTAGTTACAAGTTTCAATTTTGTTAAAATTGCATAGTTGGCTTTTTTTAATAATTTAAATTGGAATTTGCAGAACTTGATTATTATTGTTATTTGAAGCATTTCAAAACTAAACAGCTCTTAATATTTTTCTATGTGTAAAAGATATTGGCATTTACTTACATTTTTCTTGTTGGCCTTTTTTCTTTTAAGTAGTTAGAAATTCTTTTCCATTCGTGTTGAAACATATTCTGTACTATTTTGCAAGGATGACTATTTTTCGTCACCTGAAATGTTATGTGGAAAAAATACCTGAGCTTCTTTTTTTTAAAAAAAAGTTTCTTTGCTTTTTTTTTCTAGAATTCATTAGAATTTCTTGATTATTGTCATTTATGTCTCTTCTCTCTTTGTAAAAATGCATTGTAAAATTTGTTTTATTTTGTATTTGTTTTTTAGTAACTAATGTTAATAGCTTATCAAATCTTATTAATATTGTCAATAATTTTATTCTAAGAATAAGTGGAAAGATGATATCTTGTGCTTACATTTTCCATCAACTTGAAAATGAATGTTTTCAAATATGATCAAATTATAGTCATGCTAGGATGACCATTTTTCGTCACCTGAAATGCAATCTGGATAAAATATCTGAGCATCTTTTATAACATTTTTTCCCCCTCTTGAATTCTGCCACAGAACTTAATTGTTATTGCCACCTGAATCTTTATAAAGAAAAAAACGCCCTTGAATCATTTGTACTGTTCTCAAAACTTATTCTAAGAAAGATAAAAATTGCATTGATGAAAATGTAACTCTAGTTAACAGAATGGAGCTCAGCAGAACTTCTTGACTAATATTGTCAATTGAAGCCTTGAAAAACTCCTAAATTAATTGTACTGCTGTCAAAAATCTTATTCTATGTAAAAAAGATATCAGCACATACTTACATTTTCCATTAAATTGAGATTTTTCCCTTGTTTATGAAAATAATGATGTGCAAATGTTATAAAATTACAGTTATGCAATGCAGAGGGGGCCATTTTTTTTTCTCTCATAACAAATATCTGAGCATCGTTAAAACATCTTTTGAAGTATTTAGAAATTCTTTTCCCTTATTGAAACATATTCTGTACTATTTTGCAAGGATGACTATTTTTCGTCACCTGAAATGTTATGTGGAAAAAAATGCCTGAGCTTCTTTTTTTTTAAAAAAAAAAAGTTTCATTGCCCTTTTTTTTTTCTAGAATTCATTAGAATTTCTTGTCTCTTCTCTCTTTGTAAAAATGCATTGGAAAGTTTTTTTTTTTTGTATTGATTTTTTAGAAACTAATGTTAATAGCTTATCAGATCTGATTAATATTGTCAATTGTGGCCTTTATAAACTCTTAAATTGTACTGCTGTCAATAATTTTATTCTATGTGGAAAGATTATATCTTGTGCTTACGTTTTCCATCAACTTGAAAGTGAATGTTTTCAAATATGATCAAATTGTAGTCTTGCTAGGATGACCATTTTTCGTCACCTGAAATGCAATGTGGAAAAAAATATCTGAGCATCTTTTAGAATTTTTTCCCCCCTTTTGAATTCTACTGCACAATTTAATTGTTATTGTCACCTGAATCTTTATAAAGAAAAAAATCTTGAATCAATTGTACTGTTCTCAAAACTTATTCTAAGAATAATAAAAATCGCATTGATGAAAATGTAACTCTAGTTAACAGAATGGAGCTCAGCAGAACTTCTTGACTAATATTGTCAATTGAAGCCTTGAAAAACTCCTAAATTAATTGCACTGCTGTCAAAATCTTATTCTGTGTAAAAAGATATCAGCATGTACTTACATTTTCCATTAAATTGAGATTTTCCTCCTAAAATGTCTTTCTCTTTTCTTATTTATTTTTAGAATTCAACATTTGGTTATTATTGATTGTCATCTGGAGCTTTAAAAAAATTATATCATTTGTACAACTTTCTTATTGTATTCTAAAACTAAAAGAGAAAGAAATTGTATTGTTGGAAAAGTAGGAATATCATACTAGTTCTGAATTTTTATGTCCTTAAAAACATCTGAATAATTTGATAACAAACAATAGTGAAAATCACTTCTTGTATATCTTAAATTTTTACAGCTGTAAGCATAACATAATTAACATTTAGCTTAGAATCATTCCCAGTGGCAGAATTTTTTCAAGTTGTCTGCGACAAAGCCTATAGCTCTAATATCTTTCTGCAAGATACTTTTAATAACAAAAATAAATATTATTAATTTTTTTTTAAAAAAAACCGTTGTGATAACAAAACAAAAAAAAAACATAATATATTTTTTTAAATTGAGCATGTAATAATTTTTTATTCTAACATTATGGGTGATAATCTAAATGCATCATTCAAATATCATGTGTAAATTTGTATAGAAAAGAAAAATCTTTCCGCAAGAACTCTGTAACGTTCTGCGACAATGTCGTCGTGTCGCTGCTATTCTGCCACGGGGGAATCATTAAAGCTAATTATGTCTAATTACAAATAATTGTTTTGTTTAATTACTATATTTTCTTTAATATTTAGTTAATATATTTGAACTGTTATTTAGGTAGGAATTCCTCCTGCTCCTCGTGGTGTTCCTCAAGTTGAGGTTACTTTTGACATTGATGCTAATGGAATTGTTCATGTGTCTGCACGTGACAAGGCTACTGGTAAAGAACAAAACATTGTTATTCAATCTTCTGGTGGTTTAAGCAAAGACGAAATTGAAAACATGATTAAGAATGCTGAGAGGTATGCTGAAGAAGATAAAATCAAGAAGGTAGTTTTTTTATGGTTATTTAACTTTTAATCCTTACTTTTTATTTCTGGATTTTTTTTTTTAATTGTATATATTATGATTTTTGTTTTAGGAAAGAGTAGAAATAGTCAATCAAGCTGAAGGTATTATCCATGACACTGAGTCAAAAATGGATGAATTTAAGAGCCAACTTCCTGAGGAGGAGGTAAAATATTCTCTTTGAAATTCTTTTTCATTGACATTTGCATGAAATTGAACAATAATTTCTTTTTAAAACTGCAAATGATCTTGACAGCTTATAGTAATTATAGCCTGCCATTTTTTATCTTTAAATAAGATTACACAAATGATAGTTGACAGATTGTGTGTTAATACTTTCATCCTTCCTTCTTGCATCTCAATCAATCTTGGAATGATTTCAAGATAAAAGTCACTTTTATTTTACATTTATATCTGAAGATTGGCAACTCTTAAAACAAATAGTAATTGAATAAGTTTAGGAATTTAAAAAAAAGTTTCTGTTCTCTTCTCAGTAATAATTTAAGCCTCTGTTTTTTTTCTTCATTTTAAAATCTGAGGGAAAAATTATGTTCATGTGCTGAGATTTAAAAAAAAAAGCGAAATTAAAAATCTTCAAATGTTCTGATCTTCAGCATCTGCTACTGTGCTGAAGGATTTCTAATAGTGTGGTCCCCAATTAAATTTTTTTTTTTATTCTTATTATCTCAGGTTTGCCCCCATGCGACTAAAATGCAACTATTTTTGGCCTCAACTAACTATGGCAAATTTTTTATTTGTCTGAAAAGGCTAAAAGCTACTTTTTTCAAGAAAGAGAGATTATTGTGAGATTAAAAATTTATTGCTAGAACACCAATGTTAATGTAAAAATTATCATATTTGCCACCACCTTGACTAAATGGATCATGGTATATGACAAGTCATTTAATAAAATTTTAGTCTTATTTAGGCAACTATTATCATGCTTTAAGCTACTAAAAGCAACTATTTTTTTTTTTGTGGCAACCCAGTTATCTCTAAAATTTGTAAACAGCTTTGATTCCTTTGTAAACTGTTTTTGTGTTTGGTTTCAAACCAAGCACAAAAATACTTTCATGGGTAGGGGTATTTTAACAGGGTTCTTGCTGTCCTAAAAAAGTGCTAAAATTTTTTTCCAACTTTTTTAGGGCCTAAAAAGTGCTAAAATTTCTTCTGAGTGCTAAAAAAGTGCTAAATAATTTTTATTTTGGCGTTTTGAAAATTTTTTTTGAGCGGTCAGATTCCTTAAATCGGTTTCCCTAAATCCTTAAATTCTGTTGCCTTCGGCTGTTCTGCTGCCTCCATCTTTTTAGAAAATTCTTGGGCTTTGGGGAAAGAAGTTCTTTCTTCTGACATTGTATGGGCTTTAAAAGTTGTAGAAAGCTACTACTCCTACAGTTTTCCAAAGACACTGGAAAATTATATAGTACAATGTTTCCAGACAGTTCAATAGCACGTCATTTCGCCTGCAGTGAATATAAGTGTGCATATCTCTGTCATTTTGAACTTGCACCTCATTTTAGCATGCTATTTCTGAAGTGCATTGATAATGCCAAGTTTTATACATTGCTTTTTGATGAGTCTTTGAGCAAAGCAACACAGCAGTAGCAGTTGGATATACATATCCACTTTTGGAACCCAGGTAAGAACATTTTAGAGACGCGATACTTAACATAAGTTTTTCTGGGCCATTCTACAGCAGATGACCTTTTAGCCTGCTTTTATTCATCAGTCAAAAATGTAGACCTGAAGAAATTATTGCAGATTTCTATGGACGGTCCTGCTGTCAATTGGAGGTTTTATAATAATATTCAAGAAGATTTGTTAAAAGAGCATGGTGTTCAATGCAGTGCAATAGGAAGTTGTGGGCTTCATATTTTAAATAATGCATTCTACAAAGGTGAATCTGAAACAGAATGGCTCATTGGTTACATCCTGAGCTCAATCTTCTATCTTTTTAAAGATTCACCCACAAGAAAAGAAGCCACCGTTGGCTGGAAAATGCACCTGCAGCTGAAAGAGCAATATTTCTTTGGAATGATCTGAAATCTTAAGTGAAAAATGTTGGCAAGTTTAGAAAAGTGAAATGTAAATCCTTTTTAACTTTACAGGAAGCAATAAAAGACAAATTGATTCTTGTTAGGCTGAACTTTTTCTGAAATGTGTCGGAGCTAGTTTAACCATTTTTGAAACTGTATCAAGCAAATCAGCCACTTTTACCATTTTTTGCTGCAGATATCCAGGATTTGGTATTACATAGTGTGCAATTATATAACAGTCTGAAGCCAGAATCTATAGAAAACTTAAATTCTCTGGAGAAACTGTGCCATTTTAATTTTTGTGATGAAAAGAATTATGTCTCTCTGACAAAAATCAGTGTAGGTTTTAAAGGTGACCAAATTTTAAAGCAGTTGGCCTCAAAAGTTATTTCTGACCGGGATCATATTAATATAAAGAAAGATTGCAGAAAGTTTATCACCAAAATGTTAGAAACTTTACTAGAGAAATGTCCAATAAACTATTCTGTTGTTAGAAATGTTGCTTGCATCAATCCAAAATTAATGTCAGAAAACAAAAGCAAGTGTGTTCTAAAAATGAGAAACATATTAAATTACTTAAGTCAAAAA